ACAATAGTTTGGCGAATTTTTACGGCCATCAAAACCGAATAGTACCAAACATTAAAATCGCAATCTAATAAAATTTCAGAGTTTAAAAATACATGTAATTCATAGCAATGATGCTTAAACTTTAATAGGATAATTACACATGAAAAGCTACAAAAAATTTATGTTTTGTAGCAACAACACGCAACAAAATGCAGGGTGATTCATAAAGAATTATACACTTTCCAGATGCTATAAAACAGTGAAAGTCAAAGACACGCACCACCTTAGCGAACCACAAGGTTGACATCCCTTAAAGTTTGCGTCTAGCCCCTGATAGAAGTGATATAGACTATAACTTGCGTTTCAGGCGACGTCTGCAATGGAGAAGGCTTTTTTATGTTCTTAAATTCACCTTTTTTTGTGTGTGTGTGTGTGTTTAGAATTCCGCAACTGCATTTTCAATCGCAATTTAGAAAAGACCTTCAACTAGAAAATCTATCTGTTAGTGGCATGAAAATTTTAAAATACGGGCTGTTTGTGCAAAAGTAAAAGTCCTGGAACCCCAAGTGTACGACTGTATCCCAAGAAGTCGCCGATAGTTTGCACCACCATTCAACGAAGCCCGGGAAAATCAACGCGGAGGGTCAGTCGTGAAGTGCAGATTTCTCAGCCCATTGTCTGGATAATTTTGAGAAAGAAACTGAAAGTGATTCTATATAAAGAGCAGGTGTTGCAAAATGAGTGACAAGCAAAAGCGTTTTGAATTTTGTGCAGATACACAGCTTCGTTTTGAAATGACGGTTTTGCTAATCGTTTGATTTTCACTGAAGAAGCAAAATTTTACGTCAGTTTGAAGGTAAACAAGCATAATGTTCGCTTTTGGAGAACAGAGATACTAAGGTGACCAGACGTCTCGTTTCTGGAGGGACAGTCCCGATTTTTAACAATTTGTCCAGCGGCGTTTTAAAAAAAGTCCCCATTTTTTGGAAAGAATGCACGACAAGCTAGGGAATGACGGGAGAATACGGTTTTCGGCGGCCATGTTGCTACATCGCCAGGATATGAGTCTTGTATTATTTTTGTTAATTTTATAATGTTAAATTTTAATAATAACAAATTATCGTTGGCAAATTATAGAGAACTGCTTATCAAAGTTCGCATTGTTGATCAGTTGTTAGAGTTCGACCAGCATTGTTTGGACTTCATGGCATTTTTTGGCATTGGCATTGACGAAAACATTTTGTTTACTGAGACGATACACATTGTACTGCGTGCTAGTGCTAGTTAAACAAGTGACATCAATAAATCAGCTATTCAGATCATTTAGATGATCTAAGTGAATTTAATTTTCTTAAAAAAAAAAACAAAAGAGATTACATGATAAAATGTGAGAAATGTAATGGTGAATATTTCGCCCGGCCTGAAGAATGATATTTCAAAACACTCGGGGACACAGAAACATAAAAAATATTTAAATACTACTGTATCTTCATCCAAAATGCAGGAATTCTTTCGGAAAACAATTTATGGAGACGAAGAAAAGAAATTAGCATTAGCAGAAGGACTTGTGTCTTTTCATGCTAATAATCACAATCATTCGTTCAGATCTTGTACATCACAAGTTGTCCAAAAGTTATCCAACAAAAAACGACAGCAATCTACTAAAAGAATTTCACTCAAATGAGAAATATGCCAAAGAATAAAATAATACTATGCGTAGTTTTTTAATGTATTATATTTGTAAATTGTACTTATGTTGAAATTTAAAAAATTTATTTTACAATATTTTTGCGTTCTATGAAATTTGTGTTGCTCCATATAGACCAAATTTTTAATCAAGAATTCCACCCGGTAAATGGTGTCCAGCTTTGCCAATGTTAAAATCTGGTCACCTTAGAGAATCCCGAATTCGCAGTACAAAACGTGCAAGATTCCTGTAAGATAAATGTGTTCTGTGCAGTGTCCAGAAAGAAAGAGTTCAAACCTTTCATTTTTTCGCGAGCAAACTGTCACGGGAGCCACTTTCTTAGATGAATTAACTCTTTGGTTGATGCTACAGTTGCAAGACGACATTGACAACTTCCTTCTCCAACTGGGTGGTGAACGACCACACGGCCTACGTGCGAGATTACCTCGATGAACCTCTCACTGACCGATGGATTGGACGAGCCACAGACTACAACATGCCCCATATCCAATTGTCGCCCAGAAAACCTGACTTAAAACCTTGCGATTTCTATTTGTGGGGGAGGGTACCTAAGGGACAAGTTATCATCCTTTCCTTCTTGATGATCTAGCGCAGCTGAAACAGCATATCACAGCCGCTGTCGATGAACTTGATTCAGGTACCTTAACACGCGTCTGGGCAGAAATGGATTATCGGCTCAATGTCTGTCATGTGACTAAGGGTTTACACGTAGAACATCTGTAATTGTCTCTAACAAAAAATAATCCCATACAGTTCGTTATAGGTAACATGTAATAGCTTACATTGTTCTTGATTTATAGTGCATTGAAACTGTATACTTTATGAATTGCCCTGTATTTATGCATCTTCTTAAATTGAAGCCTTCCCAGACATTTTGGCTGATTTATATAGATTCACTTCTCTTTAAGCACCTTTTCTAACAATCAGAAATTTGTCTCAATATGCAAACCAGTGTTCTCATTAGTTTCTGCATGCTTTATCTCCTAACTTGTCAAATTCTCCATAATGTACCCATGAGGGTTTATTTCATCCAGTAACAGTTAAGTAGCTCAAAATCCCCCCGACAGACATGAAGCAAATTATCGCTATGTCTGAAAGTAACTACAAAGTCAGAAAAAGGTTTAAATAAGCCTCTTATTTAAAAAGGAACTTGGAACATAAAGGCATGTTCTTATGTTAACAGAATCAGTTGCAGCTTGTGGTGATGTAATTAAACAAGAACACTAAAATTGAAGCTAAAAGTGTGGACTAGTGGTCAAAGACTATACAATAAGCTGGCTCAGTAACTCTATCGTCATCATAAATTCAAATGTCAACAGCGATAACGCAAAGAGGAATAATTACAAATTATCAGAGCTGGCAGGAACTTGTCTAAGTGATTTGCATTCTGGAGAGGAAAAATTATAATAATGTTATAACTTAATACCATTATTATAATTACAGTGTATAAACTTAAATTATACAAAACTGAGTAATTTAAACATAATAATAGCTGTACATATCTTTGAAAAATAATTTTCTTTCCCTTTATTTATTAAGTTTCTTTCTTCAGCACATTTTCTTTTCATTTTAGAATTTTTTAATTTAATTAAAGATTTCTTTTATTCTAAAAAACTAAATGCATTTAAAATGCATAGAAAAAGCTGCTAACTTTTAGTAATATGAACATTCAGAGGGAATATGAAATATATATGGTAAGAACTGGTTACAGAGCTGGTGTGGCAAGATTTTTAGAATTTAGTGACGCACCGAGCAATAAAATGTAGAAATGGCAAAACTTTAGAATTTAGGAAAGGCACTGGAAGCAGAATTTAGAATCAACACAGATTGCATCAGGGGGAAAATGCCTAGCACCAGCCCTGCATATGATGTATTATTACATATTAGATGAAGCTTTTAAATTGTTAATTTTCAATTTCTTTATTAACAAAAAAGATTTTTTTCTATGTGTCCTTGTGATAAGATTACAAGCATTTCTGATATTTTCATGCTTGTGTCTAGAGAAAAATCCAGAAAATATAGGGAAGATAAACATGTTGCGATAAAGATCCTAGTGTCAGACGTAAAACATTCAAATATGCTTTCATTGTTCTTCCAGACGTTCTCCAAAAAGTAAGAAATTTATCACAAACTTTCCATAAAATGCATCCATTACACCCATTAATACCATGGGGATATTTTTCATTTTGTCACATTTTTCTGGAATCTTCTAGAATCGCGGGTCTATTAATTTTGCCTTCAAATCCTTCTTAACTTTCCAAGCTACAATGTCTAAACTACTAAAGAAAAATTACCCCTACCAATTCTGCTAGAAATATTTTGAAAAAAAAAATCAGAGGGAAAAAGTGTAAAATTAATTTTATAAAGAAAACTTAAGCATACTCTGAGAATTCTGAAAAAACTCTTATGATGAAAAAATTCAAAAGAAGACATTTTTAATTAATTGCACAGCAATTTTGCTTTTGCTAAGAACTATTTCATAAATTCCGTTTTATAGCATTATACCTTGCTTATTTTTCAATTCAAATTATTGTATAATAAGTGGTCAAAATAGAACTTTATAATATGACAGTGATAAATAAAAATTTATTTTATATAATTTCAATATATTACCATTATTTTGATGAAATTGATCAATGTTACAAAGTTTAAAAAATAAATCGTGGGAAAATTCCTAGATCTCGGAATTAAAAATGTTTAGAAACTGATCTTAAAATCTCCAAAATGCAGATAAGTCGCGAAATTTACGACCGTTTAATAAAAGAATTCGCATCCCCAAAAGCGAAAAGTTGTTTAAGAGTTCTTTGTTACATAAAATGAAATAATTTCAAAATGCTTATGTTTCACTTCTTGCCTAGAGAATTGAGTATCCCATCATTTATATTAGAAATAAGAACAAATTATAATCCATGAACCCATTCACATGCATTCAAAAGATAACCATATTTATCAGAGAATCTCCAAAAACATTCCTTCAAAATGGCAGTCACAAACAGATAGAAATTTCAGATGATTAAAATTAAGGGTTTTCTGCCGATTTTGGGACGCAATTAGACTTAAATCGATTAAAAAAACCTAAAACTCTTAAGGGGACCGTACGATCCCTGTTACACATGCCTCTGTCCCCCTCCAAATATCTGTACAAATAAAGTTTTAAAAAAAAATTACTTAGACAAATTTTTTATCTTCTTTTCTTGGGAAGAAAGAAAAACTCTGAATTAATTCCATTTGAAATAGCAACAGAGGCTTAATGAGAAATGCATTCAGACAAACAAAACAGTCTAATTGTTTAACATAAACAAAAAGTCAGAAAAAAGGTTAGTCAATAATTAAGTGTTTATTTTTACAACAGGTCAGAAAATGACCAGTTTAAATACATAAATCTTCATCCTTACAATACTTTAATATGTACAAGTTTTCAGCAATCAACTGATATAATCTGTCTTATTACAAAAAGTGCTTTACAGAGACTTCAAGTAAAATAGTGCTAATTATAAAATAGATATAAAAATATAAATCTCTTACTGTACAGTATATAACAAAATTTAAAACAATATATGTATTTTTCACACTTTGACTAATGTAAAGTATAAAGTTATTTTGAAAATAAGACAATAACTTTCAAACAAGTTACAAAGTACAACTATTAATTTATTAAAAACTGCACATATGCATACTACAAATATCATTTATGTACTATTACTCAAAATTCAAAATGCATATGTGTACAAAATTTTTAAATACTTTGAAATTTATACTATATATTAAATGCTATAACTTAAATAAAGCAGAAGTTTGCAACATATTTTATTTTAAATTCTATGGAATAAATATAGCAAATCCTTCAGCAAAACATCCTCGATTTAGTTTTAAAATATGTGTAGCAAAATACATATCATTTGGCAAGAAGTAAATTGTTGCCAAAAAAAAAAAAAAAAAATAACAATATTGCAATTTTGTTACAAAACATAATTCCATAATTTATATTGATTTAATTATATCTGCTGTTATCTCAGTTTAAAGACTAAAGATACAGTTTTGATAATATATGTTGCCAGATATAAAAATCAATTCAGCTCAGTGAGTTTTCTAGCAAAACTAATACATAGAAAGGCTTTCATTTTCATTCGGAACCCCTTATTTTAAACATAAAAATTTGCAATATAGTAAACTTTTTTTTACATTACAAAGAAATTTAAAAATACATTATTTTAGTTATATTAGAAACTAACTATAACGGATTTTTAAAAAGCACAGCAATAATATCAAAATTTAGAAATAGATGTCAAATGAGTCATTCTGGGAAATAAACTCGTATATAGAATATTGACATAATGATAAAACATTTGAATGTTCAAACAATACACCTAACAAACAAAAATTAAATAAACATTTGATCACCACATAACTTTCCAGTTTTACTAATTGTTCAAAAAAAAAAGTATAACTGTAGAATAATTTTCTGTACTCTGATAATTACATGTTTTTTGAGCAAAATATCACAATAAAAATCTTTCTCTTTAGCATAAAGTAAGAGAAAGTTATGTAAAGATATATTATTTATTTAAAAAACTAATTTAGATCAACATTTTAAATTTTAAACTGAACAAAATAACTGCTAGAACATATATGTTAAATATATACATTCAAATCAATCACATAATTTTTAAATACCTCAAATCATAACTTATACTTAAAAGAAGTGGAACTTTTATATTTTACTTTACTTTTTTCTGCTGAACTCTGAATTTTTTAATTACCTTTGCAGACATTTTAAATCTTGAAATATTAGCAACTCAAAATCTAAAAACTGGAATGAATAGATTTTATGACACTGTATATTACATACCAAACATCTAAAATATTTTTAATGTTAATAACCACAAGGTAACTGCACAGTATTGCAGTCTCAATGCATTTTTATGTTTATTTCTAAATACACTGCAAGTAACTTCTCAGAATAGAGTGAAATTACAAATGGTAAACAAAACTATTACCATTCCAATAGGTAGAAATAAATCAATTATTTCTTTCTATGATGATCCAGATTACAGATGTTGTTATAAACATGCAGTTTAGAGAGTCTTTTGCACATTTTTAGTGGCAGTAAAATCTGACTACCTCTCATTCAAAAGCACATTTGTGATGTTCCACAAGAGTTCACATATTCACTAATGCAAGCTGCAAGCTGCTTCACTCTTTTATTCGTATTAGAGAATGGTTATTAAATAAAGTCCTAAAGGTCAGTAATGGCTACGCTTGAGTTGTTTGAATTTGTCCATTAGTCTTATCCTCAGGCCTTTCACCATCATATGTCTGAAATAAATTAATAACCTGTTCTCAATAAATATGATATAAATTTAGAAATAAAATGCATAAAATATGTTAATTTGTAAGATTAATAGAACATTTAAAACTAGGGCAAAATTCAAACAAATATACTTAATTTTTTTTTAATGGCCATTAAAGATTTTTAAACACATACATTAAAAACATACATATGAGACTCCGAACTGCAATAAACATTATATGCATCAGTTAGAAGTGACAAAAGTATACGTGTTCATAAAAATTGTTTTAACTAAAAATATAAATATTTCCTAATTTTGCACTAAGGATTTTTCTAATGAGACTCATAATTACTTCTAAGAGGTGGCCCAAGATAATTGGAACGCAAAGCAAGTGGAGTACAAAGAAAGTTCCAGTTCGGTTAATCTTGGGCAACTGGATATTTGGTTTGAAAATATATAGAGAAAAAAATGACAGCTGTTTCAGTTTTACTCACAAATAAACAAAACACATTTTCCTTAAGAAACCTGAGTTAACATTATGTCTTTCTTGAATTTTAGTTTGAGCATCAAATATTCTTTAAATGTGAATTAATAATGTGACGATCAACACATAGGCAAAGAATAAAAATTCATAATTTATACTCATATTTTAATATCAATAAACCATTTGTAATTGATGGCATTTATTACAAACAGAAGCTCACCTAAAATGTGTGTTTTTATTAATGCAAATAATATGCCAAATATGAAAGTATAGTAACTACTGAGAATATGTTGTTAAAATCGCTACAAGCAATAGCAGAAGTAATTTATTTAGTAACATACTCTTACTTTAAGACACAATAACATGCCGAATAAATACTAATTCAGAAGTCAAACAACAAAAATCAGCATTATATTTACAAAATTTTCACAGGACTAGTTTCGATGGTTTTACCGAACCACCATCCTAAGCTGCAAAACCGCAAATGATTTGCGGGAAAGAAGAAGACCTTTTGAAGAGGACTTTCTTAGCGAAAATAGCTTTTATTCATATTATACATGGGGAAAACCATGACATACAGCTTGTCATTGAAACTGGGTTGAAGTAATCGGCGATCTTATCCACTCACTTCACAATATAAAGCTTACTGGTAGGGCTCAGTAAGCTTAATATTGTGAAGTTTGAAACTGATTAATAAATGAATTTATATGACTTAAAAATGAATTTAAGTATGGCTAATAAATAGTTTACTTTTTTTTTTTTTTTTTTTTTTTTTTTTTTTTTTTTTTACATTTTTATTAGATTTACAAAATTTCTTGAAAAAGTACAAAAAATTACATTATTCCATTAGTCTTATTTTGATTTCTCAAAAAAAAAATTTTTCTCTCATTACTACCATAAAAACATGTAAAACATGTCTGAGATTTTTGGTTGAAAATAATTTTCTTTTAACAACCCTTAGAGTTCCTAAATGGCTGGCACATGGCATTGTTAAGTCACAAACTCATTCATATCTGAATGTGATAAGAGCGACTTTAAAATCTGATAGGCTAAAATATAGATAAATGTCCACCGTACACCAGCTTAATTTATGCATAAACTTGTCGACTTAATTAATGAGTGTACACTATTTTGTGCTTAACTATTATCAGTTTTAAACAAACACTTGAGCAACTAGTGAACCAGATTTGCATTCTATCTGTTGCTCAAAGTTTGCAATCACATAAAAGCTGATTTTTAATATTTTTATAAAATTTTTATGAATCGTAATCCAATTTTACCGACTTTTGTTTTCTATGCTATACAACTCTATTATGAGAATAAGCATAAAAAATTAAAATTAGACATAAAAGCATTTTAGTTTGGCATAGATTTCGAATATAAATCTATTGATTTCGAGGGCAATCAAAAAGAGGTCCTCTTCTTCAGACGGAAAAAAAAAAATTCCTACAAAAACAATTTTTTTCCTTTCTTTATTTCTCCTGAAGAAGGCAGGTTTGTGTTTTATTACCCTCAGAAATTCATAAAGAGTCCTATTTAAAATCTACACCAAGCTTGTTTTTCCCTTACAATTTTAACTCTCAATACTGGCTTGTTTCTCTTCCAATTAGGCAATAAAAGGTTTGAGCAAAATTTTCACTTTTTTCTCTACAAACATCAAACTGCTACATTTGTTTTTAATTAAAATATATATATTAATTATCTCTTTGATGATAATAATAGAAATAAATTACAATGGATTGTTGAAGGAAAATATACAATAAAGGATTAATGCAGGAATTTCATTTGGAAAATATACCTCTCATATCAATATTCTTTCCTTTTCATTCAAATAATTTTTTTTAAAAGACTTTAAAAAAAATCCTTGAATTTAGAAACTACCCACAATGTCCTTTCTTTTAAAATAATTAAAAGTATTTTCAAATAACACACACTTTTCAGTGTCAAACTATGAAAGTTAAATTAGTAGTGCATAGAAGTCAAAACTGACTGAAGAAATATACTACTCAGAAATATGAAAAATAATGGAGGAAGTACTCACTTTGTATGTAGGATTATCATATGCAGACTCTGAAGGAGTTCTAGATATAGGAGCTTTAGCAGAGGCCTGCCTCCTTACTAATAATACTAACAGTAAAACAAATCCAAAACCAGCAACTGCTGCGACTACTGCAACTACTACTAATGCTATAAAATAAGCATGATTCTCCTCTTCTCCACCCTCTTTGCTTTGCAAAAGCTCTGCTTGTTTTCCTGAAATTTTATACACAACGTTAATTCATAACAATACAAAAAAGTCAGCAAGTCAGCTTTCAAAGAAAAACTCTTCTTGCATCTAATGCAGATTAATATAAGTTTAAAACAGTTAAAAATATGACAGTTTCCATTCTTTGTAATTCCTAAAGCTAATATTTTTCAAAAGTTACTAAAAATTAATAATATAAAACAAATTTAAAATTATTTTTCAAATAACAGTTTCTAAATTTATAGTTTAAATGATGGGATTATTACCAAAATGGTATATTATATGATTTTTTTCTTTTCTTCACACAGATTGAAATAGTTTATAATAAGAATAAAAATATAAAATATTTTTGATCATATATAATTTTTGGAGGAGAAAATCAAAGTATTATTTGCTTTTTATTACAATTTACTATTTATTCCACTTTAAGGTATTTTTAGAGAAGGCTACATAGACATGTATTTAATAATATCAGAAAATGTTATTGGTTTTCTTTTTGACGTTGACTTTTCCAAGTATTCCAAGCATTTGGCATTTTTAACTTTTTCAAGTATTTTCAATGTTAAATACAATATTTTCTAAGATTATATTTATTACATAAACTTCCCTCAATCCTTATCAGCCTTTTTCCTGTAATAATTAATAAATATATTTTACTTATAAAATATATTTATTTTTGTACTCATGTACTCAGACTGGATACTCTGATATCATAATATCTATAACTTAAATTTAATAAATCAAAAAGTGCTACATAAAAGGGCAAAAAATTACTAAAATTATTTATACTAATATACAGTTAAAAACTAAATATAATCTTTTTATGTTAATAATTAAATATAATCTTTGCATATCACATTATGCTAAATATAATCTTTGCATATCACATTATGCTAAATATAATCTTTGCATATCACATTATGCATTGTTTATAAAGATTCTTTCCAACTAAGTTAATCTGGAGAACTCTTTCAAACCAAAGTCTACGACTTTCAAATTTCAGCCTTTATGGTTGTTTTCAGTTAGCACCCCATATTATAAATTTTACTAAAACAAAGTTTTCTTTTTCATGAAAAATATTTAATGTAATGAAAATCATTAAAAAAAATCTCTTTGGGGAAATAGAAAAAATTGCCTTTTCCATATGTTGTATTTAGACTTCATAATACAATCACTATTTTTATGTAGTATAAATTTGTATGTACTGTTCATATAGCACAAATGCAACATATTCACATGTGTTGCTTTCTTACATTATAAGTATATAATAAATAAAGTTAAATTTTTATTTTTGGACAAAAATTTTGCACACATTTTATAAAGCGTAATTTTGTTGCTCATTTTAATAAATACTATTTCATAGCTACATTTGACATTATACTTGTCATAAGAAACTGCAATATCATTTAACATGTATAGTTAAAAGAACTTAAATATCAATCAATGTATTTTTCCCCCTATGTTCAATATTAGTACTTTAAAAAAAATAATATAATATTAGCATTAAATATAACATTAACATTTCTTTTCTGCGTGAAAGTTTTTTTCTAGTTCTATATGAAAACTATTCACATATGCTAGTACTCCCTTAAAACCTCATATGGGGAGGGGGAGGAAAGAAATCCATTTAAACTTACCATTAGTATGACTATCATCACTAATAGTGTTTTCAGATGATGAAATATTAGCTTGTGTTTTGGCAGGTTTTGTAATAAATTCAACCTCATTCGAAGTTAATGTTTGCCCATTGGTTAAGTATAATTCTAATTGAGCAAGATACCTGTAATAAAATTAAAATTTAATAAAATTTATTCACATAAGAAAGAAGAAAGATAGGAAAAGTAAAGTTTCTTTCTTAAGATAAGAAAATTATATTTGAAAATAGGGACACTTAAAAAGTAGCAAAAGTCCAATTACTATACCTTTCAGAACAAAAACTGAGTAAACCAACTACACAGTCCAGTCACATTAATGTGACCACCACGTACTTTCCATGTCAGAGTTAAATAACCAATCACAGAAGGCAGGTGGCAGCACAGTGCAGTTGAGCGTATATAAAGGGTGTGTGAGGGCTTCGGAAACCATTTCAATCGTTGGCGTAATGCAGAAACGAAGCGATTTATCCGACTTCCAAAAGGGCATGATCATTGGCTTTTGGGCCAAGGGTGGAAGCATTTCCGAAACGGCTGAGTTTGTGAACTGTTCGCGTGCCGCCGTGGTAAAAGTGTACCGTGCATGGCAAAATGGGACTGTCCAAAATCAGCGACGTGGCAAATGTGGTGCACCACGGGCCATAGATGACAGAGGCGAACGACAGTTGCGGAGATGCGTTCGGGCAGATGGGCTACCGTTGAGCAACTGACACCAAATGAACCAAGGGCTACCAAAAGTGTCCCCCAAAGTACTATTCAGCGAACATTGCTGCGTCTGGGCCTCCGAAGCAGACGCCTGGTTCGTGCACCTATGCTGACTGCTGTTCATCGACGGCGAAGGCTAGAATTTGCACGCCAGTACAGCAGCTGGACGTCCACTGAGTGGCGACAGGTTGCGTTTTCGGATGAATCGCGTTTTATGCTCCATCGGACAGATGGACGTTGGCGTATAAGGCATGAAACCTCTGAAAAGGAACCACCCTGCAACCATTGCCGGAACGGTCCAAGCTGGAGGCGGGAGCATTATGGTCTGGGGAATGTTTTCCTGGCATTCTCTAGGTTTCACTGATCATTGTGGAAGGCACAATGGATCAATACAAGTATGCATCTGTCCTTGCGGACCAGTTCACCCCTACATTCGCATTGTTTTTCCTCAGGATGATGGCATCTTCCAGCAGGACAATGCGAGGGTGCCATACAGCTGCCAGTGTACGTGCGTGGTTCGAGAGCACCAGGATGAGTTTACCGTCCTCCCCTGACCAGCAAACTCACCTGACTTAAACCCAATCGAGCATCTGTGGGACCATCTCGATCGAGTTGTTCGCGCCATGGATCCTCAACCGCGTAATCTAACGCAGCTGGCCACGGCATTAGAGTCGGCATGGCTCAACATCCCAGAGAACACCTTCAGGGACCTATGTGACTCTCTTCCTGCACGTCTCGCAGCAGTCCGCTCTGCGAAAGGTGGTTATTCTGGCTTTTGACAGATGGTCACATTAATGTGACTGGACTGTGTATGTAACAAAACTACAGTTTGATAAAATTACACTTTATTAAACACTTTAAATAAAGTACAAATCAAGGAACAGTATTTAAACATTTATATGAAAAAGACAGATATGGGACAGAAAGTCACTAAAATATTAAAATGTAAATGAATAATGCAGCAGCTATGACTGCTTGTAACAGTGCTTAAAAGATAACCTTGATTTATTTTAATAAGATCTGTTTGTTTAAACATATAATTTGAAATTTAAAAACTGCAACTAACAAAATAATTCATAGCAAAGAATAAGAATAAAATTCTTAAGAATTGTTTCATCTTTCATACTTACTTCTTTCCTGGCTTCAAATGATCTAGAGTTATATGGTTGTTTTTTGGCACTTTGAAACTATATGATTGTTCTCCATCAGCAGTTTTATACATAATTTTAATGACGTGAACATATTTTGTGATTGGCTCAGGAATACCAGCAAACAAGAAAGCTGACTTGTCAGCTTCAATTTTATTATCTTCAACTGAGACTTGTAAATGATAATCATCTATAAAAAAATTTCATTATTAATAAAATAGTATAATTATCAGACATACAGAAAATTATAAAAAATACTTTCAAAATTTAGAAATTAATATTTTCATCATTTTTCTTATTTTAATTTTTTTCATATGTCTGAGAAATATATTAATTTCATTTTATACTGAATGTTTCATAAAAGTGGCAGTAATTTTATTACCATTTAATTCAGTTTCAATTCAAGGTATTTAATACTACATGAAAATTTATAATGCTGTAACACTGGTAAAAGAACTTCTATTAAGCCTGAGTATTACATATTGCCAGAAAGATACTAAATGAATATCAAAAGATAAACAAAAGCATTTCTCTTTTTGATGAATTCAGAAAGAACAACCTTCCTCATAGTCTCTCCCCCCCTGGAAAAAAAAGAAACCACATCACTTTTCTTAAAATGTATCGAAACCCTTTTTTTTTTTTTTTTTTTTAGTCAGCCCCAATTAAAGACTATTATCACATTGATCTAAACATAAGATAGCATCATAAACAAGATGACCCAGCATTTTGAATGTGTTTTATAAGAGGGAAAAAATATTTACTTATAAGTTACTCTCACACAAATTAATTAAATTAAATCATAAGCTTCTGATTAATAACATTTTTTTCTTTCGGTACTTTTTCATTAAGTCATACTAGGCATTTTTTGTTTTTTTGTTTTTTGTATGTGCTCTGATGTATTTCCTTGGTGCCAAGTGTCATCGGTTTTATTTGTTTATCTTCTGATGATAACTGCATTAATAATGATCACTCCTTCAACCATTATATTTATATATCAAATTATTTATTTAATATTTATATATATATATATTATTATTATTATCATTATTAAATAATATTTAAATTATTATTTAAACTCTTCTAATGGGTTTCATGGCTTGGCCAAGAAAAGAACAAGCAGCTGTAAGAAAGGCTGTATTCAAATAACCTCTTTATGAAATTAAAATGAGACTTGAAGCCAAAATGGTTATGCAACATTCTTAAGAAAAAAGCATTTCAAACGTAGACTTAAGTTCTAATCACATATATTTCAACTACGCACGATTAGACGTCGAAAGAGGCAATTCTCAGAACCCACATATTTCCAGAAAACTCGCATAGCTAGGTTACCATTGTTCCTTGCCACGAAGACGTGAACAGCAAACAGTAATCGATTATTGCTCAGACTGGGATCATATGACCTTTCAGGAGTAGAATTTTCATCTGATTGATTGACTCTGCCTGGGACAGAGCTCCAATTGAGAGATTTTTGGTGAGGTTTGAAAAAATCCCGCGTAGCCACTACATCATTTTTGTAGCTGGGTGGGACTTCGTTTCCAGCATGGTGCTTTTTTCTAGGAATCTTCCTGTTTAAACCAGTGCTACCAGAATCTTGTTTCACAGAAAAGTACCCCTAGCAAGGACTGTCGCTAGAAGTGATAACAGCATTAGTCTATAAGACTACACATTCCCTTCATTCATGCTGTATGATTCATTTATTTATAGTGTCAGCAGCTAATGTCTATTGAGCTTTGCAGACCAAAACTCACTTCAAATGAATCCCAGTACATGGTTGATTGCAACAATTACATGAGAGAGAGAGATGTACCCATTCTTTGTTTCTCATCATTATATTAAAATTGATGCACATAACAAAACTGTGGAAAGTGATGAAAGCGTATTCAATGAAAGAAAAAAATAACATAGGCCAAGTTCTTCTTTTACAATTGGTTTTAAATATTTTATCATGGAACTAGAAGAACGTTTCATTATTCCTGACTGTTCTGTTTTGTCTAGTATGGAGCCAAAGACACAGGCAAAGAAATGATATCGGTAAAGCTTCAATGGAAAAGTAACCCTTTTCCCTTGACTAAATAATGTTCTTTTATATAACATATAATCCATTTTAAGAAGATGCTGCTAAAATATTTAGTAATTGCTCAAAAAAATAATTTAAAAAAAGTCAAATAAAAATTACAGTAATTCAGAAGATTTATGGTACCTTTCTTTTTTGTCATGGTTCGGAACTCCAAATCTTTAGAAGAAACAATTTTAGTCGGTATATCTTTGGGAGGAGTAAATATTATGTCTACAACATAGTCTGCTGATGCTTCAAGATCATGTAGGAAATATGAAGTGACGTCTTTATGAATCATAGGTGTTGTGATCCATTTGTCCTCTGCCTCGTTCTGTAATTTGTACTTTAACTGCAAAGCATAAATATATTTCTTTTCTTGAGGTTCAAAATTCCTCCAAGAAATCCTGACAGTTTTGACATCAATTACATGCGCCTCCAATTTTGCATCAAGAATCATTACTGGAGGAGCTGTAGTAGTGGTTGTTGTAGTAGTAGTTGTAACAATCACTTCTGAAATTAAAAGAATTCACATGTTTAAAATAAAAAAAAAAAAAAAAAAAAAAAAGATGAAATTACTTTTAAACATCTAATATATAAAATGCAATTTCTATTGTATTATAGTAGTTAAAAGATTTCTTTTTAACTATTTGAAGTATTTCAACGAATATCAGGGTTCTGAAAGCTTACAAACATAAAATCTGCAATAAAATAAAATTAACAAGGAAAATGGATGAGATTTTAATTTACAACAAAAATGTTTTGAATAATGTAAACCAAAAAGTTACAATATACATGAGACCTCTCTAAGATGATAATCCATGATTCTATTTTATCTTCTGTCGAGGTGGCTTCTTAGAGAGGTCATATTCAATACCGATTTTTATTCATGTGCTTAACTCTCCACATGGTGAACTTGATGATTTTCACTCCATTTCTCTCACATTCTTGTATTCAGTTGAACTAATATCCAAGTCTATTTTGTGTTGTTCTAACTGGATTAAAACACACATAGTCCTCCACTCAAACATATGCATTTCAGAAATTGAATTTTGAGATTCAGTATCTTTTTTAAAATTATTTTATATTCTGTGTGAATTCAATCACTTTTTATGAACAAACTCAACCATTTAAAAGTAACACGTTGTCACTCAGCAAAACATAAGATATTTATGCTTAAAATGTAATAAAAAATCTCATTAATTTAAATAAAATGTGTTGCCCCATGACAATTTTTCTTTCAAATTTAATCAACAAACACAGAGACTTAAAAGAAATGTGTTACCATTTTTAAAACAACATATTTTTATCTTCTCTGTGCCAGTGTTGCAGTTTCTGAGTGATTTAACGGAGAATCAAATCAGTTTCTGATCCATTTGATTTTAATTTTCTTTCACATTTAATTTGCACGATAATTATTAAAACAAACTAAGTTGTTTAAGGACTATAAACACAGTTCTTCATTTGCATTATTGTCAGTTACTTAATTATTGTGAAATTATACTAGCAGGATTCATTAAAATCGTCATATATCTTTCCATTTTTATTACACCATTTTAGGCAGCTGGCCATGCAAGTAAACTAAAAATAATACATAAAAATTTTTATAAATTAAATTTACATATGCAAATATTGTAGCATCATTTCCTTTATTTTAAAATTTGTTACTACAGAAAGGTAAGAACTGTAAGATATACACTTACCTTCTGGCATCTTTAACTTGAAAACTTCACTTTCAGGCCTACGTTGTAATGTATCCATTATGATTTTAACTTGCAAAAAGTAAGTAGTGTTTGGTCTAAGAGCATTCAAAATGTATTCAATATTTGGACTATCAAACAAGCGGTTAGGCCTGGAGAATTTTTGCACATGCCATTGGTTAGGTGGAAGAGTTGGGTCAGTAGTAAAATGAAGCTCAGCATGGCCAATCAAACCAACGAGGATATTAGATAATGAAAATCGTACACGAACTGCAGTTGAATTGAGGGCAACAATGTTTACATTATACAATTCTTGACCTATAATGAAATGTTTAGAACATAAATCAAATTAATATTATATATATATATTGTATGTGCATAGTGCATACAAAAGAAACACACGTAAAAACTGAGTAGTCTATGTTTTATTCTTGCAAAAATAATATTGTATAATTTATAGAACTATATAAAATATGTATTAATGTGTGCATATGAAGATTTGCAGTTTAAATTCGTAAGCATCCAAACATTATTTTACTTGTACATTATTTCACTTCAAATGATTAATTATGTATTCATGAGTTTATAAATTTTATTATCCACTTCTAATTTTCCTTCTTGAATGCTAACAATTTTAATGTCTCCTACTTTGTGACAATTTAAACTATTTCAAAAACTCAAAAGTAAAATCTATCACATAAACTACTGTCATTTTATTGGTTTGTGTAAATTAAAGATTAAAATATGCTACATCTCCAAAACGTGGATAAATAAAAATACCTGCCATCTTTATAGGCTTCTATGAATTTCGTACAACTAATTTTGATTTTGATATGTAACCTTCTGTGAATTATTTAAATACCCATTGTTTTGATGACATTTAAATAGCTTTCATATTTACAGTGTTTGTTTTCTTAGTCATTTGTTACACAGCTATGCCCAACTTAAACTACCGCTTTTTTAAGTAAATACCAAAATGATGAAATTTTATAACCTATGTGTCTTTAAACTGATTTTATTCCTTTGCTTGCTATAATTGTATACATTTATCAGCTTAGAAAAGGTATTAAAGCAAAAATATGCAATAACTATTACTATATATTCTAAATACACATTAACCTATTTGGCATATATTACTGTAGAAGATGAATTGTACAAATTTTGAATTGCATAATACTTTAACTGATGCAATTTTGAATTTCTTTCATAATTAGATTCACAGCTAACCAAGACCATCCAAAGTAGATTTCAATTAATAATAATTTCAGATAAATTTAACTGCACAAAACAGATTTCATAAGATAATAATACAATGAAAAGGTATACAAATAAAATAATAATTCGGTTTAAATATTTACAAAATTGAATTAAAAATAACTAATTAGGTACAAAATAGAACCGCGTGCTTTTAAATGTTAAGTGCAGCATTTTTTTAAGCAGCAGCAAGATTAAATTGCTAATTAATGCTTAAAAGTCAGTTTTATCCCAAAAGCAAGCATTTTTAGAGTATATTATAATTACAACAAACTCTAAACAATAAATAAAATGTTCAATAATAGTTTAAATAATAATCCTTACAGTGCTGCAAGACATTTAGGGAATATTCTGAAGAATACCATTCATGGTAAAATTAAGTAGAAATAAACAGGCAAATTTGCCGAAAAAATTTACCTGAAATTGTATTGTTGCATACAACATAGGGACACATTTGTGGATCATCTGGTCTTACAATAACAGGATGAAGACACTGTTCAGTGGGTGAAAGAAATCTGTCTGGGATCTGAGGGCATCCTTTCCTACATTCCACCTCAGGAAGGCCCATAGCATTTAAAAAGCAGGTGCATAATCTCTGCTGAGTACCTTTATGTACTTCCCACTGCTCTGATAATAAATATCTAGAGCCTTGAAACATACAAAAGGCTGTGAAAAGGTAAAAGTATCTTTTAGGGATGAATAAAAGGGAAATAACTTATTAAATAAGAGAGACATGTTATTATTTTTGTGGATAATTTAAGATGTTTAAATATGTATTAGTATAAAAATTAGAAAGAATTTATAAATAAATTCAGAGTTGAAAGCCTGAAAATTATAATAAAGATATTATAACCAAAAACAGGCATATAGGAAAAATTACACGAAAATTTAGTTGATGAATTCTGAAATAATTATTACAAAAGTTTAGGGAAAAGTATAAATGTTTTAAATTTTCTTTTGACCATATAAACAAAACCTTAATAAATTCAAGTAGGTAAAAACATTAAATTATATTTTCATAATTAGTGAAGCATGTGCAAGCATCAGCATTCAAATGGATTATAATGTACAGCTCAGTTTCCAAAAAGCTACTAAGGTTTTCAAAAGAAATTACTAAAGCTGCATAATGGGGGAAGGACATAATAACCACTATATGTTTATTGATTAATAAATGCAATAATGATATTCAAAAAGAATTTCATAATGATATTGCATATTTCTAAAAATGTACATATAAATACTAAATTTATGTAATCTGATACACATATTAATTACTTTTATACATTTTACTTGTAAATGCAATATTTATGTACAATATTATGTTTTTCACATCTTAAAACTAAAATCCCCAGACATCTCTAATAGACAGATGCATTTACTTCCCAGCCAGAATTAAATCAGAGCTGTCTATTTTAATGATTTGTAATAACTTTCCTTCATAAATACTTAAATGATGTCATCAAAAGAATAAAATGTCATCCATGTGAGGGGGAGATAATAGCTACAACTTCTGAACTATTTTTAACAGGCAAATAGGTTTGCTTATTTTTTATTAAATCAACTTCAAGTAATAACCAACTTGATCCAGCAGTAATAATTTTATGACCTTGTATTTCAGTGCTCTCTCAGACTGGCAATATATTTTAAAGATTTCAAAATTTTTGCAGTAGCCTGGTCCTATCCATTTCAAAGCAATTTAATTAAAAATAATAATAATAAAAATCACATTAATTAATTATTAAAATATAAAAAAATTCAATTAATAAACAATTTTTTTCCTCTCTCTTCACTAGCTACATCATTCAAATTCTGTTCTTAATTTATTTAACAACCACTAGATGAATTAAAATTTTAATTACTATCACTAAATTACATTTAAGTACTGCATTAAAATATTCAAATGTTAATTAATTTTCAAATACAAATTTACATACAAATTTGAGAAAAATGAATTTTTTTTAAATGTACATCAGTCACCCATTACTATTATAGTAGTTGAAAATCTGTAAGTATGGATTTAAGGAATTAAAAGTCAATAATAAATAGTAATAGACTTTTAAATTTCAATTAGCAATATTTAGTTAAATCTTTAAAAACTTATCAAGTGCATTAACATGTTTAATGAATAGTACTCTCATGCATAGTATTATAAACACTCATGTCATGTATTCATTTTTGCAAAAACTTATTCTGAATACTAAACATATATTTATTAACCTAACCTAATTTTTTATAACAGAATTTTTCCTTACCTTGTTTTAAGGGTTCTTTACACATCCATTCTAAACAACAAGTTTCACCATCAGGATGGCCTTTAAAAGCAAAATTTGGAGAACATGGAAGATTAACTGGAGGTACATCTTCAATAGGAGGGCATCTGTTTTCACATGTCACATTTCCATTGACACAAATACAATGAGCTCCACAAGGCAAAAGTTCAGCAGGAATAACATCAAAATTTTCAAATCGTTGACCACTGACCATACAGGCACCATCTACAATTTCAAAAATATAATTCCAGTGTTAAATTACTGCAGTTACATTATTACTGTATTTGTAATAACTGTATTTACTTAGGCAGAAAACTAGTTTTGAAATTTTTGATTATCTACTCACTAAACAAAGTCACACATTATACTTATTACTCTTTAAAATTATTAATATAATGTTTCACAGACAAGAAGTAAATAATTTTCATATCATTTATAATAACTGACATTAAAACATACAATTATGTTAATTTTTAATACAAATGGAATTGATGATGATAAAAATGATAATTTTTAATACATCTCTTATGAAGCAACTTAAGATAAGTAATAACTTGTATTCAACAATATGGCATAAACTTAGCAATGGACCCTCTTAAGCCTTTGATGGGGAAATCCAAGTTATTGCCCTGGCCATCAAAATAATTCCCAAAGAATTTTAGACTATAGGCCTTTGCTTAAGGCAATAACACATGGAATTTCTTCCCAACGGATTCCAGCACACTGTGGAATTATGAGAAACGGAAAAATTGATACAATGACTATTGATACAATGAAACTTTGATAATGCATCACATTAATCGACTGCTTTCTTTTCATGTGACTATATTGTTTGCTAACAGACTCTTAAGAAAATTCTTAAGCAGGATATGATTCAATGTGCTATGGATGAGAGATTTAGGAAAATTCTGGAAGAGATAACTTTCATTCCCAGTTTTCCAAGAAAGACAGTGGTAGCTCTATTTAGACATCTGACCAGACATGACTGTTTGTGAGGCCACCTTTACAGAGCTGGAGTGATGGATTCTCCAAACTGTATTTTGTGTGACTCCAATTGATCTATGATTTTTTAACATTTAAATAACTGAATCACACTTTCTCAGTATGAGTCTCACTGTCTGTGAGACCACCTCTACAGAGCTGGAGTCGTAGATTCTCCAAACTTTATTTTGTATGACTCCAATTGGCCTATGATTTTTTAACACTTAAATAACTGAATCGCACTTTCTCAGTATGAGGGCATTGTTAAAATGTGTTGGAGAGCCTGTGAACTAGTGGCTTAAGCGCTAATGTTTGGCATTCATAAAATAAATGAATAAAATAAATAAATAAATAATACGGCATAAAATTAGAATTCGGCAAAGTATTACATTACAGAATGTATAAATTAAATCAAGGAGAAAATGAATTAAAAACTACAATGACACTTCAAAACTTTAGCAGTATTTATAGGCAAGAAACACATCAATTATAATTTTCTAGAAACAAATTCTTTCATGGAAAAAAGGAAAATACAGTACAAAGTCTGTAATCCGGACAACCATTATCCGGAATTATCTATAATCCAGACCTCAAAACCCCAAACTTTTTTTTGTATGCTTTACGCATGCGTTTTCACATGCACATTTAGCACCAAAAATGAAGCAACTTAAACAATTAACATTGAAAGAAATGTTTAATAAAGTAAACAAATAAATATTAAGCTTTTTCCTTTGTAAATTTTGATACCCTTTAGATCATAATTGATCTTTATTTCATAAATTACGGTTTCATATTTTTAATTGTATAATTTCTGCATGCCATCTTACCAGATTTAAACTGATGATTTATAATCCGGAAAAACCCTTAATCCGGAATTGCTGAAATCCCGACGAGTCCGGATTACGGACTTTGTACTGTATTAGCATTCTAATTTCTAGTAAAAGAGAAAACACTCTAAACTTACCATTTACACATTTTGAAGGAGCACAGCAATTGGGTGGAGAAGGGAAAAAGTCAGGATCAATATCCCACTCCATACAGTGTTTATATTCTGTACCATAATTAACTGGACACTGAATTGGAGCACAATTTACTCTCAGGTCCTGACCACAGCGACAGTGAGCAATGCAGCCATCATAAAATTCCTCTCCCATATTATATCTTTGATTTTTGTATTCACATTGCGGTCGAGGAGGTTGTAAGAATCCTAGGATGAAAGGATTTATATTTGAACTTATAATTAAGCATGCAGTTATTACCATGCATCTTGTAAAATATTAATGATATCTAATTGAAATATTATATGTTAAAAATATCAAAATAAACTCATAAAAACTCAAATTGCAAGCATAAATAATTACATTATAACACTCCTTGGTTTTGATAATTTTAAAATAAAATAATATCAATGAAGGTTAAGAGTCTATTGCTTGAGTTCTAACATTCAATTAAAATGCTGATAAAGTCTTCAAAATATTTTATTAAATACAAAATGAAATAATGATCTTTATGTTTTAGTTGGCATACTATATACAGAATAACTACTTTATTTATGTTTTAGTTGGCATACTATATACAGAATAAATACTTTCCTATACTTTCTTTAATCCTTAAATTAATGACCACATTAATTCAACCTATCTCTTTTTGAAAATAAAAACCCAATCATTATATTAGATTATATCAAGTCATTATACAAATTTTCTTGTATTTAATTTAATATTTTCAATTTATTGCAACAAAAAAAAAAATTTGGAATTTTCAATTAAATTCAACACTTTATCAGTTAGACTGATACTGATTCTAATTTAATGCTCAGTTTTAAGTCTCAGTATTCAGCAATTCCAGCCATTATTGCCCTGATTCTGCTATCAAGTCAGTATTTGTATTATATTAGTGTAACCAACTTAACATAATTTAGCAGTTTTTTATAGAAAGAAGAGAATGATTTATAATTACAATATAAACATTATTTATTACATATTTATTATATCCATTTTGCTTTTTAATGAGATTATTTATCATGAACATCAAAAACCCATTTACATTTTTTTTTTTTTTTTTTTTTTCATTCTAAAATTCATGGCAGTTACTTTAATCACAGACTGAAAGCAATTTTTCTTTTCATAAATTCTGCAGCAATATACAATATTTTATAGAATTTTTACTGCAGTTTCTCCATTGCAGATAAATCCCATAATTGCATATTTTAAAATTGAGTTTAAGGAAAAAGATATGATTTATCTACAAAAGCTATTGTAACTTGGAATACTGGGGGCTGCGGATGAACATGTGCAAAAGTGATGAATTATTATATGTATAGTTGTCAGAGGTTAGTTCATTCTGAAAATTTAAAGACTACTAGAGGCTGCATTAATACATAAGTTCCACTCCATCAAATCATGCATATTAAATTTAAAAAGAACAATAAGAAAAAATTGTTTTAGTGTATTTTATCTTCTTTCAGTACAATGATACTACAGCACCAAAAAAAATAGATAAAATTTCTCAAACAAAATATTAATCACAATAATAGATTTATCATTTGATATAGGCATCTGATAAATCAACTTGCATAGCATCTAATTTACTGTGTTATATAAATCAATTTAATTGGTAATACTTTTTAACAGTTAACTTGCCATTTATATAAATTTTCAAGTGGTAAGAAGAATTGAAATTTTGCACATACCTCGTGGAGGATCATTGCATACAACATAAGGGCATTTGCAAGGACCATCTGGTTTTATTAAAACTGGATGAGCACAGAATGCAGTAGGAATATGAGCATTAAATGGTAAAGGAGGGCATGCACTCGTACACTGAATGCTTGTACTTCCATTGGCAAGACGTGTGCATCGACATATCGTAGTTTTACACCCATCAGATGTTTCCCATATTTCATCAACTTTTAAAATATCTTTGGAGTCAAGAACACATATATCCTCAGAAGTTTCTGAAAAACAAAAATATATATTAAAATTTTTAAGTATGCATTTGACACATAAATTAATTTCTAATCGGAATTGTATAATTTATTTTGCATAAGTTTCAGAATGATAGAGTAGTGCCTTAAATCTGTAATTTGAAATCATACATAAAATTTTACTTTAAATTATAAATAATAGCTAAAAGGGTGATTATAAATTATTAACAAAATCCTGAGTACAGTCAAAAGTCGTTAATTCGGACACCCATAATCCGGAATGATCTATAATCCGGACCTCAAAGCTACAAACTTTCTGCGCATGCGTCGCGTTCATGCATGCGCACAGGCGTTTACGAGAGCGCGTAAGACCCTTACGGCTGCGAATATGTTTGTGCGCATGCGCGTTTAATGTGTAACGGAGTTATACGCTAAGCTAAAGTTATCTAATTCAGTTAATGTTGCAGATTGCGTTGTTCCTTAATCTTCGAATTGGATCCGGCTTATTATTTTTTGCAGACTGTTAGAGCAATTTTATAAAAGTAAGCTTGAACTTTCGATTATGTCAAATAGAATTTCCGATATATATTTACTACAAAGCGAAAGTATGTTTGAAATCCGAAATCTGTTTATCAATTTCACGCTGCTCTGTGGCAGAGGGGGGGGGGGCAGAAACGTCATTATTAGATTATGATAGATTAGAAAGATTATGTCAAATAGAATTTCCAATATATATTTACTAATATGTAATTTGTATCTACAAAGCAAAAGTATGTTTTGAAATCCGAAATCTGTTTATCAATTTCACACTGTGGATTGGAAGTTGATCTGTCAACACTATCCTTACCTTCAGAGCAGATGTTTTTATTTTATTTGGATTATAATTCCGTACTAAGTTTAGTGGTCTTTGATATGATTTAAATCAAGTTCCTCGTCATTATAATTCGCTTCCGATAGTGAAGAAAGTGACCCAGAGGTTATTGAAAACGAAAACATTTCGATTGACAAATTAGTCGGTATTCTCAACACAGCAATTATAGGACTTGAACAGCGGAACTTTGTAACTAAACAAGAAATTATGTCTGTTTAATAGAATTAAAGAGAAAGTATTATCACATGAAACGAAGCAACTTACATTGAAGGAAATGTTTAATAAAGTAAACAAATAAATATTAAGTTTTTTTCTTTTTGTAAATTTTGATACCCTTTAGATCATAATTGTTCTTTATTTCATAAATTACGGTTTCATATTTTTAATTTTGTAATTTTTGCATGCCATCTTACCAGATTTAAACTGATGATCTATAATCCGGAAAAATCGATAATCCGGATTCGCCGAAGTTCCGACGAGTCCGGATTAACGACTTTTGACTGTATTAATATTAGATGAAGATTTGTATTATACAATGTATTTGATCAGTATAATGAATGTTTTTCTAATATTGATGTTGACAATAAATACTATGTAGCATTTATAAAACATAATTTTTATCATTTTAATTTAATTTTATTTTTCTTACCTTTTAATTTAATTTTTTTTTAATCTATCACTGTGACAGTATGTGGGTGGGAGGAGAAAGGATTACAATACCATTTTAGTAAAAATGCTGGTCTTATTTGACGTCAACAACTTATAAGATATATATATATATATATTCGTAATATTCGTTAGGTTAATCAATAATGCATACCTGGTAAAGAAGTTGGACCATCTGGGAGGACAGGTATTTTTCGACGATTACACATTGGAATGGTACAACATGGATCTTCTGCAGATGGAATCCAATCGCATCCTTCATAACCAACTGTGTCAATATAAACTTCACATCGTTCCTGGCATTCAATGTATCCTTTTTCTCTGCATATGCACTTATGATCACATCCTTGGTAAAATATTTCACCCAAGCTATATGACTGATTATGATGGAAACATCCTTGAAGTACAGTTTTCACAGCTGTAAAACATAATTGCATGCATTTAAAATGTAATGATATTCTCAAAACATATATGATTTTTTATATAAATTCATTAAATGCCTTCAGAATAATACATTTATGCTAGATCATACAAAAGATGAGTTTAAAGAAGATTGTCATGAAAAAATAATTTAAAGAAAAATTAAGTTCTCCAACACAAACTACAAATTAATATTAAAACTAAATGAATTACATTTAACACTTCATTAGTATGATAGAAGTAGCTTTCTAACTATCAAAAATACCAGTACTGAAGATTATCAGAGAAAGACTATTAAATATACGTATTTTTTTGGCCTGTAATTTTTAGTTAACTGTCCTCTAAAGTTAAGAAAAAAGTTAATGTTAGATCATAACTATTCAGATAACTACTATATAAAAAAATTGGCAGAGATGTATGAAAGATAATTATTTGTTGTATTTTGCAATTTTCATAATGCTTTGCACTTTTTTTTTTTTTTTGAAAAGTGCAAAGTTATAAAATGTAGTTTTTGAAAAACTGCAAAAGTGATGAATGTTTAGTTAAATGTGATCTGATCATGCAACTAATCAATACATTTGCTTAATTTGTAATTTGCAATATATGGATTGATAGTAGATACTGTACGCAGCCTGGCATTAACTCTGAGTGTCACAGCCACTTTTATACAAGCATAATATTTGCTTTGATTTAGTATATATTGTTTCACTATTATTTTTTTTTACTTTCTTAAATGTTCTAAATGTAATTTTAATAAATGAAGTGTTGTTAAAACTAAGAGCATAATAAATAAATAAATGTGTACAAATATAGCTTCTTAATGAGCAGATCAAAAAATCCATGCCATTTAAATGCTTAAAACATATGTAGGATCTACAGTGACAGGAAAAAAAAAAAGGACTTTGCCCCAGTAACTCACAGCATTCAGAGATCTACCAACGAACATATTTAGGTTAGTCTGGGAACACAAGCAATTCTTATCCAAATAGCAAATAGGATACTGTCATCTTTGTAATACCTTAAAAATATGCTGGACTAATTGTTTTGTGTGTCTTTTTATTTCTCAAATCATAACATAATTCAGTCACCATATAGGAAATACTTGGATTCATTTGTGAATATTACTTCGCCCCAGTATCATCTGCCTCGTGAAACGTGCTTTTCTGCAAAAACTAGTTGAGGTGCTTTATGTACATTGAGTTCATAGAATAAGCACCAAAGATCCTTTAACAAACATTTCTTGTATGGGAAGTTTAATCTCAGCTGAAGTAGATTTCATTCCTATCCTATTATAGCAAAATGATTGCCAAAAAGCTGAGATTGCAATTATACTTTTCCTTCTTGTGGCCCTTTGGATCAGAAAGCAATTATCATATGAATTTGAACTGACTGGTGTCTACTGGTTTTGAAACTGCAACTCAGTTAGAATCTGATTCCATATTCTTTTGACAGGATTATAACAAGCATTTAACTGCATTGCTATTTCAGTCTATGACAGGCCAATGTCTATCCAGTCAACTGCTTGCCAAGGATCAGAAAAATTATTTCTCAATGTGGACAATTCTCTATGAACATAAACAATAATTCAAACATAACATTTTAATACCTCCTAAAACATTTTCAAAATTAATATGATTTTAAAAACTAATTCAAAAATATGCAAGTGAACATTATTATTAAAACTCCATTATTACAAATTTTAACCATCTAGTTTTTCCAATTAAAAAAAAAGTATTTATCCTCAGGCATATATAAATTATTTTCTTAATTAGGATTAATACACAAATTAAGTGAGAACAGTATTTCATGATAATTTCTCTATTTATTTATAGTGAAGGATCTAAAGAAAAAATTGTCTGTAAATTAAGTTCCTTAAATTTTGGAAGGCAGAATAAATTAAATAAAAGAAAATTTTTCTTTTCCTAAATTTATTTAAATAATACAATTATTCAATGAGAATTTACTTCTTTATAATTTAATTTTTTTACTACAGTTAGAATTTACTTTGTTTCTAATGATTATAAAAAAAAAATATGACTCAAAAATCAGATAATAATTATATTCATAATATTAAACAATTCAAGCAAAATAAAATAAGTAAATACACATAATTATACACTTGAATATTCTGCATCATATATATTAAAAAGTCCATACCAGCAGGAAAAGTCTTTACATTCACTGTATTACTGAAATCAGCCATATTTAAATCTGTAGATCCTTGACTTTCTTTTGCAACTTTAATATAATAATCTGTTTGTGGCATCAGATTATTAATGTCAAATTCAAAAACCCCTCTCTGCACTTCTGTGAGCTCATTTGGTGATATCAGTTTCTTATTCCACTGTGATAAATCATTGTCACTATCAGATGATTCTCGATACCAAACTTCCAATGAATCTCTTCCAACCATTGTAGGCATTTTATGAGTCGAAAGTCCCAAACGTACACGAATAGAACTTCCATTTTGGGCCAAAGCAGATAAGATTTTCAGAGGTAAGTCTAAAAATAAATTTTTAAATAAAATATGTACTTCAAAATTTTACTTAGCTTGAAAAATAAAGTTAAAAATCACAAAGCGTCATGTACAAAACAAAAATTTTAAACTACTGCCAATTTCTTTCGCCAAGCCAAACTAGCAACCCTTAAGCGTCTGTTTTTAATCTCATTTTTTTTTGGGGGGGGGGGGGGTAGTCTCGCTCTTTTTATTTATGAATTCTATGTTCTCTGTTAATTTTCTGTATAGTTCGTATTTCCACATTTTAATTTCTGTCTTAAATTCAGTAAAAAGTGGATAATAAATTTCTTTATTTGACCCTGGAATTTTTTACGTATATTTCATTAACAGATTTCCAGTGCATCATTTCGCTCTTCATAAGTATTGATTTCAATGTTCTCTGTTAATTTTTATATACATTTTGTATTCCTCTAATTCATTTTAATCTTAAATTCAGCAAAAAAGTGGCTAATTAATTTCTTTTACTTTATCTGACACTGGAATTTTTTACATATGGATCTCTTTTTGTATCTTTCATTAATGGATTTCCTCTGCGTCTGGGTGGAATTCAAAATTTTCAGGTGAACTGTTATGATTAAATAATTTAGAATGTTTTATCAGCTAATTTTGGTTTAACAGAAACACAGTGGTTTTCCTGTGGAAAAGGGTTCAATAGAATCTGATCTACCTCCTCCTTATAACATTGAATCAGATTTTAATTACATTCCTCTCCATATATATATATATATATATTGTATTTTGTAATTTTTTAATTTTACATATGTATAATTCTCTAGTATAATACTATTGGTTAATTTTTCACATATTTATCATGAGTTTTTGATTGTACTGGTTTTTAATCATTTCTTTCGTGTCTTTGTGAATAAGGTTCTAAATTTCTTATTTCTTATCTAATATTGGTTAATTTTCAGCAGTATATTGCACAGAAATAATTGGGATAATTTTGTTTTACAATTAAAAAAATTTTAGTAATACATGTATATATAGAGAGAGATGTAAGATAAAAAATATGCAAATATGCTTTATAATTTAATTTAGTAATACTCTCTTAATTCCTCATTTTTAATTTGGGTACTTCATCTCTCTATTCTAAAAAAAATAACAATATTTCTGGACTACATCATTTCTAAAACAATCTATGTTGCATGGCTTGTGTAATGCTAATGACGTAACTAAGTGGGAACTTGAACTCAAGATTTTGAGAACTAAAACCTTTCTGACTTAAACCAAAACCTTCCTCTTGGCAATCTTCCATACTGGATAAATTCGCACTTTTAGCTTGTATCCCTGTTGCTGCTTGGACACCATTTCTCTGTGCTATCTTCCTATCCCAAATAGTATTAAAATATGTAAATGATCTGGAAATAGGCATGATTAGAGTGCCAAGTGAATTGTGAGCACAAATGTGAATTTAAATAAACATCTGCCAAGTTTCCTATTCATTATGGATTAGCATGCTACGCAATCAAAATTCTTCCTCTTCAGTATGGATCTACACACTTTGCAATCAGTATTTCTGTGTTTCTGCATCTCAGTGTTCTCACTTCACGTCTAAAATTTGTTTTCATTACATATATATGCAATTAAAAATTTTGATAGTGATCTAGATCATGATGAAAGAGGGAGATGTTCTAAATTAGACAGAATCATGGCCATTTGACACTAACCATTATTTCAGTTATCATTTGTAGAACTAAATACAATAGGACAGCATAAGCACATGTATCACATATTGATAGCATAAATTGGCAATAAACAGAGGCAGCAAAGTAGATGTTTGCAGGACATAGAGAAGCATGAGAGGACTGCAAAGGTTATGGTATTGATGCTACTGATTAACCCTCTAATGACATGACTGGCAATAACATTTTCTGTCACTTGGTATTTTAATAAATGTAAGTTTGTGAAAATATAGACTAAAGTAAGTAATTATACAATTTTAGCTAATAAATGCTGTTTAAATACAGGTCTTCTTCATGATCCAAGAACACGCACCACTCAGAGGGTTAATAATAGTGAAGTTATGGTTCCACTTTGTTTCTACAGATTAGTTAAAAATTTTGGTTTAGAAATTTATCCATATTATTGAAAAAAAGATGTCAGTTTTACTTTTATCATAATGAAAGTAGACACATTATTATTATTATATGAGAATCATATGATCGAGATTAATTTTGAACTGTTCAAAAAGATTTAGAAAGATTTACCTTAAGCGTATTTGCAAAAGACAAAAGAGAAAATAATCAAATTAAAAAAATACTTTAAGGGCTATTACAAATTAAAATTAAGAATATAGTCTTTTATATACGTGTGTGTATGTCTGTATGAGTACATATATGTTGTGTTTTAATGCGTAGATGAAGGAATCCTGTACTTCAATTTCTGGCCTCCGAAGATACTTTATTGTGTAGCTGGAAGGATGAATGCATAAGCCAATAACTTCCAGATATGGCCATTCCAAAACATAATTTTATTGCAAGATATTTCCCATCATATCATCTTTTAGTAGATAAGATATTTTTCAATTATAGTTGAATACAATAATTTCCATGTACACAGATTTTAAAGTACGACGTCATTTTAGATGATAAGCATAGTAACAAAGCGTCTGGCCAGGAAGAAAGCTTAAGCAAAAGAGAAAAAAGACACTGCAATTCAAAGGAAGAAGACAGGGAGTCAAAACTTTCTATTCGGGTTAAAAAGTTTTGGTTTACAATTATTTGATTGGGCGGCAAGAGGTATCTGCATTATGCGTTATGTTACCTAGAAAGATCTTGAATTTGGGAGAACAGATGAATTTAGGGGAAGAGCATAAAATCTAGAATTGTTAATTTTGAGGTTGCCAATTATTCTTAAAGCAGCCATCGTATTTTATTATATCTTACATATATATATATATAATATATATATATATACAGACCAAACTGAAGTGCCAAAATAATTAGTAATAACCAGTACAGGTGAAACTATGCAGAATACATAGTAATGCTAAACAAACTTTTATGATTTAAGCAACTTTTTAATATTGTCTAATAGTTGAAGCTCTTGAGATGAACTGCAACATTTTAGAGGAAGAGGAAAGTCTAGATTTTCTCATATGATGATTTCAAGAAAGTACCTTGACAAAATAATTATAACACACTTTGAGTTTATGATAACAATGTGATCATACAAAAGCTCTGGATGAATATAACCAGCATCAGCTGGCAAGAACCATTTCCTGAAGTAGGAATACAATATTGCCTCAAGCAACATAATTTTCAAACAGGAATTTTATTTGTGTCACAAAAAAATATGTTTGATACATATACCAGCAGTATAATTATAAACTCATATTTTATCAAACTAAAGACCAAATTTTAGTACTACTCACCATCTATTTCCTCAGCTTCTGAACTTCCAGGAAAACTGCAAACCATAATTTTACAACATAAGTCATCAGGATCAGGAACTTCTCTGCAGGCTGGACCACCAGATGATAACACTGTACAACGTGGTACACAAGACACATGACCTTGTCCCTCACATGTACAGCGAGCATCACATCCATCTTCAAATTTGGCACCTTGTTCATAGGTGATGTTGTTATACTCACAACCACCAAAAATTGTGGGCTGGTCTGTAAAATTTTGAGAGTATAACTATACAAACTATATAAATGTACCTAAAAAAGGATCTATTGAGTTGTGACATCCTCAATTTGATAAATGGGTTGTGAATGTTACTGCAATGTATGTAGAAAATGTTGAATAGTCATACAATCTACTTTTTTACAAGCACTACTTTATCTACTAATTAAAACAAATAAAAATCCTTCAAAATTATAAATTTACTGATTAACCACTTCTCACATGTTTTCAATAATGGTGGAATGTTACAATTATGAGAAAAGTAGTTACAATGAACTCCTATTCAGTGTGTGTGCAATGGTTACATACGATTTTACTACACTGAATGATTAGATTCCATGTCATAATAGTTCAATTTACATTTTATAGATAACAGAGTGAAGTAATAGTTAGATATGCTTAGAAAGCTCATAAATGTAAATTTTGAATACCTATAATTTATTCAAATCTATATTTCAATTAATTATGTGAATATTTACCATTATTTATCTGTACCTTTGCTAGTCCACTTTTTTGATACTGTTACATATTGTATTTATTTACTTTATTCATTTGATGTATATTATATGGTAATTTTAGGTTTACTTAGCATGAAGTTTTATAAAATTTTGATTTCTGGCCATTTATGTACTTTAAAGACAGCTCCAATAGAAATCAGAAACATGGGCAGAGGCCTTTGTTCTAGGCAAAAATTCTTTTGAAGAAAATGCCAATATTTACTTATGCTGAACTGGCATTTTGGAAATTTTTCTAAAACATTTTTGAAAAAAGTGAAATATTGCAAGGAATAAGAACAGTACATTTAATTTAATTGCAATCAATAAGCAGTGCTGATACATATATTTTTGTAGAGAAAATCATTTTGCTCGTGTTGTTATACAATGAAAAATATTCATAGATTATTTTTTACAGTTGTTAAAATAGTCATGGGCTATCTTTTTTAAGATAATATTTTTGTGGGGAATTTTCTAAATATTTGGCTTGTATTCATGTTAAACATGGAGAAAATTTTAGAGCCAATAAACAGTTTGTTTGGTTGCTAGCAATACACCCAGGACAACCTACCGACATCCAATAGTTTTATTCACTACTACAGTGAGCTTAATTACTGTTTGTATATTATTATTATTAGTAGTAAAACGATAAAAATATTTATTCTAATAAAAATTTTTTGTTTAATATAATCCCTTAAAAGACATTTTCTATGGTCAGTGATTTGGTGAGAATATTTAATGCTGTGTTCAAACAAGACCTAAACTTAGTACTTTAAAAAATGAATGCTGGGATCTCCAGGGGTGAAAAAAAAGCTCCCACAAAAATTATTATTCATATTCTTAAAACAAATTATTAAATAATAATAATAATTATAATTATTAAATACAATGCTTATTTATTTTTTACAAAATGTACAGTAATACCCTTTCTTTACAAAAATACCATATTGAACAATTATATTGTAAACTAATAAATAACAACATTGCTTTGTTTTTTTTTTTTATTTTTTTTTTTTATGTCTTATCATTCCTTTTCCACTTTCAGTTATAGAGTAATGCTTTTAAACCTATTTTAGATAAAGTTTACTAGCCTTTCATGAACAGGAAAGCAAGAATATTTAAACTCATTCAACAAATTTATGATCAACTAAAAATTCAAAAAAAAATTTCAGGTTAAAATTCCCTTTCTGAATATCTTGAATGTAATTAAGACACAATAACATGTTGAATAAATACTAATTCAGAAGATTTGTAAATATAACGCTGATTTTTGTTTTTTGTCTTCTGAATTAGTATCTTGAATGTATTTAAAATAAGTGAAATGCAAATTTGACACTGATATTGTCACTATCTCTTAAATAACCCCTTAATGTTTTGTTTATAACTCTTAAAAACATATCGGATGTTTAAAAGTTAATATCGTATTGTTAGTATTCAAAAATCGTGAAATTAATGCTTAAGAAAAAGCAGAAACAAAAATTTATTTACACCAAAGGCAAACTTTATTACTTTGAGATTGAGAAGATATTTTTATAATAAATTTCTTAGCTCCATTTCTGCATGAGTACCATTCAAAATATAAGTCCTTGAAGAAAGTGTCTATATTGTTTCTACCGATCTTTAAACAAATGCTTATTCTGTATTTTAAATTGATCTACTTTTTTTCATTGATCACATCAAAAGTACACATTTAACACCCACCCTTTTTCAAATCAGCAGTCCACATATAATCTTAAAAATGCATTTTTAGCTCTGAAATTGAGGTATTGAGTCACAAAGTTTTATGTCACTGAATATTTACTTTATTTAAAAAATAAAGTAAATTAAATATTTAACTTTATTTAAAAAAGCAAGTATGTATGCATTTTTAAGCATATACTGCTCATTCAAAAGACGAAATCTTTCCAAACAATAACATATATAACAAATGTTCACTGCCTGTTTTGTTATGCTAACTTCAGAAATATCCTTTCTTATGTTCCCCATATGCATCTAAGTTTTTCAAAATAATAATCAATCATAACAAAATTCTGATGTATCTTTAGTTGCATATTTTTAAATATTTCATAGAAATATATATAAGCATTTATAATCTTTTTGAAAGAAGAAAGAAATTAAAGGCATGAAGAAATTTTTTTAAACTGATTATGTGTCATACAGAATATAACACAATAGTCTGTAACAATTTTATAAGCAATTACAGAAATAATATATCAAAAAGTAACATACATGTATTAAAGAATTGTATTCAAAACATACCTGATTTTTCATTTTTCATAACTGAATCTGTATCATTTCCAACAGCTTGAGGCATAGATTCAGGTTTAGGCATTTCAGTATCCATGTCCTGTGGTCTTTTAAAATGAAAATTTTCCTCCTCATTGGGCATTTCCGAGCTTACATTCAGTTTTGCTTCATCATTATTCAAAGCTACATCATGTTTAGAATCTTTGCCATGTTCTGTATGTGAAGTGAGATCTAATTCAAAAGGTGCCCGTTAAACCTACTTATTTTCTGTGTCAGTCCCGTTCATTTTATCTCTGATTATCAAAGTTTTGGGTTACATGTCAGTTTTCTTCCCCCATCTTTTTCCGATTACGTAACACAAAATTACCTCCAACCATCCCGCCCTCTTTCCACTTTTGACCCTCTTAACACTCACCCCCCCCTACCTGTCTTTCTTCATCGTCCTCCATTTTCGCCCGTCTTGTTTTCCCCTTTTTCACTATGCTTTAAATTTTCGTTCCATTTTTTTGTTACCACCTTTGCTACCAAACTTTGCTAACCGAACTGGGGCCAATCGTTTTTTTGCAGATGTATTAGAATGTTTCCTCTTTCTTTAAGTAGTAAATTTTTCCTAAATTCCTAAGCTCTAAAATAAGAAATTAAGCCAAAAGAACAAAAAGGTTCCAGTTAGATCAAGAACGCGCTGCTCTGAGGCGAAAAAAGTGAATGCCCGGCTCAATGCTTTTTTTAAAACCAAACCGCTTTTATATTTTAGTTCAGGCATTAACACTTCCAGTTAAAAGGGGCGTTCTGTTATTGCCCCTAAGATTGAAGCATAAATTTCGGTTTTACGCACTAGAATTGCATTGCCCAAATTATCTTTAATACTAAAGATACATGAGCTAAATTCTCTTACTACAATTTTTTTGGTCATGTAATATAAAAAACAACCACACCATATTAAAAGCAGGCACATAAAACGCTATCCTGACTTATATGACTGATTCAAAAGTCAAACCAACAAAAAATCACGCGTTAACTTCACAAAATCTTCATGACTGGGGTTTCGAGTTTTTGAAACCGAACCGAAACCCCTCAACTTCAGCTGAAAAAACCGCAAATGAGAACATAGTAATAATTTTTAGATAGCATCCGTTTCGAAGGGGTGGGTGGGGGAGATGTCGCTACTCAACAATGGGGACCGTGCCATTGGTTCTAACAATCTCCGTAAGAATTTGGGTGCTTTATGGTAAGCAAAGAAGTTGAAAAAAAGCTTGTTAAAATAGGTGAAACCCTCTTTCACAGTATTGCTTTAACAGTTTCCAAGGGTGGACGATCCAAAGAGCACGAAAAGGTGGAAGCTCCTTGTGGTCTGAAAACTGACTGCCAACCTGCTGTTGAAGAGCAACGGCCCTTTTTCAGGCCACACTTTGCCCGAAGACAAACCCCCACAGAAAATTGCCGTCTCGAAGTCAAAAGTGAACTGAATACGGATCATAGATTCATTGTTGAAAGAACTCTATTTAAATCATCTTTATTACCTTCAAACAGGGTAAAGTATCGTCTATGTAGCGGAACCATGCCGGGAAGTTTAAAGTTTCAAACAATTTTGATTCATAATAATGCATGTAGATATCAGCCAGGATGGGACTGAGGGGGCTTCCCATGGCTAATCCCTCAGTTTGCTTGTAATATTTATTTTGGAAAACAAAATGTGTTTGTTTCAAACAGAGTGAGAGAAATTAGCTCATCAATTTCGATGCAAGAGAAATGAAATTCGCAGTGTCTGGTTTCTAGACATCTTAATGCACCCTCCACTGGGACATTGGTGAATAATGATTTTACATCAAAAGAAACCATGAGTAAATTACTAGGAGAAATGTTTTTAACCTTTTTTACAAACTCTATTGAATTTTTTATGGTGTAAATGTTATTGTCTAATAGAGTGGAAAATCTAGAAACTAAATATTTAGCTAATGGATATGAGGCAGTACCTAAATTTGATACAATAGGGCAGAAAGGAATACCACTTTTATGAATTTTGGGGAAGAGCATATAATCTGGTACAATTCGCAAACAATGGGATAAGCGAATGTTTTAAGTTGCTTGAAATGATTTGCGAAGATTTGATCGCAGTTTTTATTTTGGATAAGTCTGAAGGTGAAGGATCTTTAGGGATTGGATTATATGGTCCTTCGTTTAAGAGTTTAGTGACACCATCGATGTAAGTGTTCTTATCCATGACGACTATCTGGCCACCTTTGTCGGCCTTTGAAATGACAATATCCGGGTTAGAATGAATCTCGCGCATTGTAGCTCTTTCTCTCGCAGTTAGATTTGGTTTCAAAGGTTTATTATTGAATTTCACATTATGAGCGATAAGATGCCTAATCATTTCTTTCTGTGAATCTGAAACTTTACTGAACTTGAAAGCTTTTTCGATAGGAGCCAAAATCTTTGGAATCGAGGGTTTACAGGTTTGTGAGAAGTTAAAATTATATTTTAGAATTCTCTCTTGTTCTTCTGAAAGACTAACATTAGAAATATTAACTATTGGCTTGATGTTTACAATGGGAAGATTTTTTGAACTACTTGAACTGGAAGACTGTAAAAGAAGTTTTTCGAATTTAACTTCAAGGTGAAACTGAAAATTTTGTGAATTAACGCTGATTTTTGTTGTTTGACTTCTGAATCAGTATTTATTCAGCGTGTTATTGTGTCTTAATATCCTCTTATGTTAGACGGTATATCAGATAAATTAATTCCATCCAAAATGAAAATTCATAAAATTGAGAAAATTTTTAAAAGGGCTCTTTGTTGTTCAGCATTAAAATTGTAAAATTAAAGTAATGTTTTATTTTAATGGAAAGCATCATGAAGTTATAACACATAAATGATAATTCATTACATATAACAAAACCAAACAATAATTCCAAACATTATTATTAGAATACAGTAATCAGCAAAACATTTAATTGATAATAAAGTAAATTAATAAGAATTTATCAGAACTTTGATTTGTTAACTTATGTACATAGAATCAAATCTATATATGTGAAATTAAACCTATGTAAACAAAATTAGCCAAGAGTATAACAAGTTTTTAATACTATCTTGATGAAAACAAAACAAAACAAACAAAAATAATGGAAAAATATCACATACACAAATCAATGATCAAAATAAAAGGGAAAAAATTTGAGTTGGTGAAAAGGATTTATTTTTAAAAAAAAAATTAAAAAGGGAAATAAGTAAAAGATTATAATCTACCAAAAAACAAATATGCAAGGACTTTTTCTAAAAATTTAATTCTATTATTATCATTATTATTTTTAATTTTTTCCATTTAGATACAGCAATTAAAAGTAGTTGCATTTTCAACAATTAGAACAAGCTATAATGCCACATTATTTAATCAATAACAGAATTTAGAGCTATTATTCTGAAAATTACTTCCTGTATAATAAAAAAATTAAGGAGAGTGAAATTTATTAACTGTTTGATCAAACAGGTTGAGATAAAATCTTCCAACTTTATAAAAAAATAATATATTTTTTGATTGATTTTATATCTACTGAATACATTAATTTGATGTCTAGGATAATTTTTTTAATTCTGAAGTGGTTTTTTTTTTTTTTTTTACATAGTATACTTTAAAACATAGTTCTGTGGTGTATCGTCTCCATAATATTAATCAAATGAGATTTACGAAAAGTTTCTAATACTGCTATTAAAAAAGGTCATATTACATACTATGAAATGAATTACTAAATTGAAACTCACTTAAAAGACATCCATTTACATGATCATTAGGATCGCCTTCATAGCCTTCATTACAAACACAAGGCATTTTTGCATCTATGCATCTAGCATTAGGCCCACAATGAACGTTTTCACAATAAACTGTTAAAAGAAATATTATTTACATTATTAAGCCACAATGAATTTCATCTTAACACAAAAATTTATGACTTTTATAAACAAGCCTGATTTTTTCTAAAGCAAAAATTTTTGAATGCAATAAATACAGGAAAAACTATTGCTTAATTTCTCTGTCTTTCCTTGCACTATTATTATTACACTACTTACCCACATTATTATTATTTACACACTATGAAATAATCACTAGTATCATCATACTTATATATAATCCAGAAGTATGTTAAAAATAACAAACAATTAGTTTCCCACTAGAAACTAGTATTAGTAATAAAGTTTTTTTTTTTTTTTTTTTTTTTTTTTTTTTTAGCTATCTTACAAGGGTTGATTGGAAAGTTTTCAGACTTATTCTCTTATTCAAGGTCTACAGGTCCTACTTTTTCTCTCTGTCTCTCAAAGTAAAACCCTTAACACCGAATTATGCTTTTTACAGCCCTTTTTAAATGATTCAAAACAAGAAATAAATTGTTTTGTAACATCCGTCATAGTTCTACAGTCATAATGCTTTGTATTTCCTCATCTGAATAGAATCTCTAATGTCTTTTTATTGGTGAGAATGCCTAGTAATCAGATGGAGTAGTCTTTTGAAATGCAAATCTTTTGAAATGTTTTGAAATGTAACGCTCTATACCCCCAAAGCCCTTTTGAAAAGTAAACAACACTTTTTTTAAAGAAATATATGCAGTATAGGCCACAAAATGTCTTTTGACATAAAAACATCTTCAAAATCATTTTTATTTGTTGCCTTTGCTACACATGGAAACCAAGATGAAAATTTATATTGTAGTAAATTTTGCTGCTATTAAATATTTCTGCAGTAGATCACAGCATGTTTTATTTATATTTTTGATGGATTGTTTGACATACTCAGAAGTATTGAATGTATATATGATGCAAAATTTTAAAATCAGTGAAATAAATTTCCCTGCTAGGCAAACCAGTACATGATAAAATAGTGAAGATAAAAATTTACTCTTATGAAAGCCAAAAAAAAGTCTTTAAACTTTTGATTAATATTCTTTATAATTTAGAAAATAGCTTTTCCTATATTATTAATATATATTTATTAAGCATTATTCATAAAAATGAAAATAAAGAAATTCCTCATGAGATATCCTCAGCTAAAGTTTATTTGAGAATTGAAGTAAAAGTAAGTAACTGTTGCAATTCATTGTAACATTGTATTCAAAGTAACTGCTGCAATTCATTGAAGATTATAAGAAAGTGCGTAAACCATATCTCGCATTATTATCACTTATAACAAATATGCCAAATTTCAAAACATGCCAATATATAAATTCAAGTATATCTTGGAAAATTTTGATTAACAATCTCTTAATTTTTTTCAGGTATACCTAGAAATACATCTACTTTAAGATGATGGCAAGACCTTAATAGGTTATAATTCGAAACTTTTCTAAAAAAAGTTATAAAAATTATTTCAAAAATAAATCTTACTAAACAGGCAAATTTTATTTGGATTCAACCTAAATTTTGAATTCTGAAAGCAGGAACTATGTAAGTTTAATAAGGAAAAGAGATATTGATAAATATATACCAATTTCAATTAACACTGGGAAGCTAAAATTTTGAGATCTAATTTTTTTCAAAACTATACAGGCGATTTTTATGAAACTTAGCACTTTGGCATAATTTGAGGTATAGGATCGAAATATGGAACAAAATTGGTATGTCATTTCAGAAAAAAGTTTGATTTTGTGTTAAAATACCTATGTTAGAACAATGCTGTACATGAATCTAATACATAACTTAGGTTGTGCTTTCAAGACATTAAAAATACATGTTGAATTTCATTAAATGGCTCAGTAGAATGGGAGATTAGAACTATCCCAATTTGTTTTACTGTGTACCTTCCACTTATTGTGACCCAGTAGTGAAGGCCATGGTTGTCCAACTGCATGTTCAGACTTTCCAATGCATTTACCTTAACTTAAACCCAATGTACAGCTGCTACATCTAATACCGGGAATGAGAAATTGAAGCAATCTTTGAACTTTCCAATCAGCCTATGCAATTACAGCAAAGAACATAACGATTATTTGCTTTTGGTTATTTCTTTTTGTAAAAGACTTTTATGGAAATTTGTTTGCACTTGTGTTATGCAAAAAAGGGTAACATGAACATTCCACATACCTATATGCAATTTACATAAAAAATGTGTAACCACTGGAATTCAATTCTTGAATCTATCAGTTACTCAAAATACATTCTCAAATAAGATGATTATGTTACTGACAATTACCAATTATTTAACAATGTCAAATCATCATTCTTTTAGTTTTTTAAAAAAATTACAGAATTCCCTCTTGCATTCTGAAAATGTACTATATTTTCAGCCTTTACTAGAATACTTTTTTATCTCAGAGAAACAGGACTTGGATCACTTTTATTCACAATGCTAGAATTTTCCCATGAAACTTTTTAATCAATTCCAATCTAAAATTGAAATTTGGTTAACTTAATTGTTAACCAAATTTCATAACTCTGACTTGAGCTTACAATATCAGTTGCTCTCTAAAGTTTATGCATGTTCAATTTGTATTTTAAAATGAAAGGCTAATGCAGATTACAGCAATGGGTATTTTAATAGCTAATAGCTACACATTAGTATAAACACATATAATGATAAAATTAAAATAGATTTCTGAGTTTTGACAAATATTTGGCATAGAAAACATTTATTTTAAAACTAACATGACTTACATGGCATAACACAAACTGCTCCACCACAAGAGCTAGGACAACATTTCTGAGGGCCTGCACAATCTTCATCCTGATCACAATCAGACATACAGGCATCAGATTCAGAATCTTCAATATTCTTAAAAAGATTTTCAGGACAGTCTCCAGATTTATTTACTCTTCCTAAAAATTACCATAAAAGAATATTTAGACATTCAATATCAAACATTTTATGTTTAAGAACTATATTTTATAAACTATACCTCAGTAAAAAAAACAATTATATATGTATCTCATTCAAAAAAAAAAAAAAAAAAAAAAAAAAAAAAAGAAAGAAAGAAAGAAAGAAAGAAGGAAAGAAAAACGCCAGTAGATTGTTAAATATGTTTAAATCTGAATATAAAATACAGAAGAAAACATGTAGGGTGAAACATTAAAACATAACAATTCCATAGACTTAATCAGCCTGTCTTATAGTAATATTTAATATTTGTAATATTTAATCAGCTTGTCCATAGACTTAATCAGCCATAGATTAACTCATCATCTGATGCAAATTTTAAAACAATTAAAAGCATTCTTTCACTCTCTCCATACATACAAAATGAAATGGAATTAATGGTCACAACTTTAAAGGGTTCTAAAATTAAAAATTGTTTTAATACAATGAGTTGTGGAATATGAAAACACAATAAATATGAAGAACATGGTGAAAAGTTGTTTTAATCATGGATCTTTATAAGAAACAGTATCTGATATTTATAAGAATAGATCAAATGGCCAATAATTGCAATAAATGCATCACAGTGGTGATGAACTACCTTTAAAGGTGCAGATCTACTTTTTTGAAGACCTTGTTGCCAGAATTAGCATTATTACTGCAGAAAAGAACACAGCAGCCATCTTCCAAAGTGCACACCAATTACTTTCTTATCATTGTGAAGTATGTGATGCACTTGACGTCATTCATTAACAATTCTTGTAAATATCAAATATTATTTTTTATAATTACATTTCATTCAAATGACCTTTCGTACTCCATGCTCTTTGTATGTACTGTGTTTCTGAGTTTACAGTTCATATTCCACTAGACTTCTTATAACAAAAAAGTGTTACTTTTGCCATACTCTATCACTCTGTAATGTTACGACCATAAATGTTGTTACACCCTGATATACATATATCATATAATATGAGATTACTACATTTTTCTAATGTTATTAATAATGAATAATCATAAAATAATCTTTTAAATTAGCTTATTTTCAAATTTTAATGCAGTAACTTATCTACTTCAAATACTACTTGAGTAGAACAAATTTTAAAATAGTTGTTTTCAGTTTAAAATAATTTTGTCTACAACCTTTCCCTAAAAAGTATTCACAAAGCAACATTATGTTGCCAAAACAGGCAACCCATAACACCGCCAAGATGTATTTATATGACAATCCAGGTATGCACATGTTTGCAGCAGGTGAGTGCCAATATCTATTGTTCTGCAGTTTAGATGAATTGGAATTTGTTGGTTAATGAATAAGGAAGCATTGCATTTTTTCAGAAATGTGGCATTTTGCAGGGAATGTAAAAATTCACATTCCATGAAGCTGTACTCTGTAACTGATAGAATTTTGTGCACCAAAGCTAAATTTGTACAATTCATCGATATTTTTTAGGTGAAACCAAATTGCCAAGTACATGGAAAAAACAGCATGCAAAGTGTCATTTGCCAATTTGTTTTGACAGTGAAAATATATCAAAACAAAATTAATTTTTTAAGTGAAAACTATGGGAAACTTTTATGCAAGTTGGTCACCGTATACATGACTAAATCACATACAGTATATGGTGAACTGTCTCTGACATTTTTTAAGTGAAAACAAATCACTATGGGAAAGTGTGCACAATGCCAAGTTGTGCATGATGCTAACTTTCTGCAAATGTCTGATTTTTTTTTTTTTTTTTTTTTTTTTTTTTTTTTTGTTTTTTGTGGGGGGAACTAAATAAAAAATCACTGGGACACATATGGAGAAAAGAAAAAAAAGGGGCCGCTTTATTACGAATGGTTCTCCTCTTTCTAATTTTGGTAACTGGCTGCTGTTTTATGCAATTTTTAGTGTGCTTCCATTTTTGAAAACAGCTGACTTGCTTTGCATGCTTTGCTTGATGAAACACTAGTTACCACTGGATAATCAGAAAGGTACTATAATTATTATTATTTATTGATGGTAAATAACTTATTTTCCAGCATACACTTCTGATTTCTTTTGGATTTTTTAATACAGAAACAACAAATATTAAAAGTAATTAAATTTAAAATTCAAATTAATCATTTGAGAGTTACTTAACTGTTTATGATGTACAACTCAAACAAGTTAAACTAAGAAGAATTTCTATCTTGTCTATAAAGTTTAATACTTAATATTCATATATACTAATTTACATACATTATACACATAAAATCCAAAAGCACTTTTCATTTAAACTATATACCGACTTATTAATAAAAATAAAACTGAGAATAAATGTTCAAATCTCCAAAATATTTCAAAGTGAATTATTTCTAACCTCCAGGATCTCGTACTGATAATTCACACGCAATGATCACACAGCATGGATCTGAAGGGATTTGTTTTTCATAGCACAGGGGATCAAGGATAGATCCATATCTTACATAGGGTGGATTACAACGAGGTGAACAGTCAGTTTCATTATTTTCATTGCAAACACATCTATAGTCACATTCAACAAAAAATTCTTCTCCAACATTGTACATCCTGTTGTCTATCACACAGCCATCTATTGAAAAAGACACAAATTTGTACAAGCTACAGCAATGATGTTTTCAGTATTCAAATTATTACGACTTCAAACTTTTGTGATGTAAAAATTAGGACAAAAATCAGTATACATTTAAACTTCAAATAAAAGTATTAGAATGACATTGTTTTATACCTTATGTTTAAAAATTTCAACAAAGAATAAAATAATTTAATAACAGCTACTTTAGAATTCCATTTGTATATTAAAAAAGTACTAAGTTTTCATGAACAACAGTAAAGAACATTAATTTAATAATTGATAATATAAAAATAAAACAAAAAGCTCATTAAATAAATTTCATAAATGTACAAAATAAAAAATAAATAAATAAAAGATGAAATACAATACATAAGATATAGGAAAATTAATTTTATATGCTTTTCAACCTTTAAAACAAAACTGCAATGCACATTGCTTCTATTTATATTTTTTACTTCAAACAAAATTATTTATCATTTGTCTATTCAAATGCCTAAATGATTTGAAAAAATCAGCAAAGAACAAAGCTGATACCTAAAATATTGAATATCATTGTAATAATACCTAAAATATTGAATATCAAGTAATATCCCTCATAAATGGCAATATCAAAACAATGACACTTTTGATGATCTAGATTTAAATTCAAAATTTAGGATTATGAGATAAAAAAAAATAGATAATAGGATGAAGACTTAAAATTGGAAAATGTTTGTGTTATGTTTCTGCTTCTCAATGTAACAAGCCTTATCCAACCAATGAATTATCCAATGTATAAAAATGAACAACCAATCCCTTTTTATGTGTTAATGTGTGAACTTTGAAGGTAGTGTCCATGACTTTCAGAAACAATTCATAATGAAAGACACCATATTTGCTTTGGCTCTTGCCTGGAAAGATAAGACCATTACTTTATGTCATTGTTAATGCAAATTGTGGTTTATAATCATGTTTGCTGACAACTAGTCGCGTGACAAAGATTCTTTAATTTCAAATCATGTTCAGCACCTGTCTGACACCCTGGATTTATTTACATGTTGGAGAACATTAGTGTTAGTGAATAGTAGATGGAGGCTTGAATGAATGTAGACAATTTCATTTGCATCATATTCTCTCAAGATGACAACGAAATAATCAGATATGTACTGGGTGAGAAGAAAGATGAGGAAGAGAGAAAGGAGGATGAAGCCTAAGACGACATGCTTAATAAAAGAGTTATGAGAAGGAAGCTGATGAATGACTGCAGATTTTCATAAGATTTGCCAAGCATTGTTCATATATGTCAGTACATGACATTATAATACTTCATTGTAAATGTATCGAATTTTTTAAATTCCAGCTAGATACTGCAAGCACGCAGGTATTCAAATTATATGTCATCACAACTAAAATATTTTGTCGGTAATGTATATGATAATTTTAAAATATTATTTAGTTTTGTTTTCTGACATTGGTTTATGTGATTATGGCAAAGCCTTGAGGGCTATCAGCCTAAAGGAAGGGATGCCTTTGTGCAAGAGTATGGGAAACTGGCTCATATACATGTTACACATGTGGAAAATCATGAAAACACCCATGCAGCCAGTCTGTTCATGGGATTCGAACATCAGACCAAACTACCAGTGTTCAGTGACTTTACTGCTCAACCATAAGTGGGCCTTGCTTTCTAAAATGTAAAAAACATAGGTATGTGTTTTTAGTAATCTGTGCCATTTTTTATATCATTTCATTAATTGTAGCTGATAGATCAAAAAGTATGGTCAACACATTTTTTCATGTTTTGTAATGCTGTAATTTTGGTACTATTCTGTTACTGTGACCAGATTCACATAAGCATGCATGTTTGGATGGAAGTATGTGTTCATGTATGCATGCATATATATATATGTATACACACACAAACACATATATACACAGGTACGTACATGCATACATTTTTTAATGCGATCCCAATAACAGAAGAGTACCGTAATTTCTACATCTGGCATCGAAAAACATGAACAAATAAATTCTAGAAATATATATTCAATTATCCGGAAAAATTTCTTATCTGTAATGTAATCTTATCTTATCTGTAATCTCATTGCTGCTTGTTAAAAGAAATTCTAATGTATATGCATGACTTTAAACTGCACTTCTTCTCCACTTAATTAAAACTTAAATCCTAAATTAATTCCAACAGCCTTTTTTACATTAGGGAATTTTGGTTAAACTCCAGTTGGAGATAAAATTTTGACAGCTTTTTATATCATATTTACTTGACAACAATTATAAAAAGAAAGAAACAGATAAACATGATAACTAACTTCAATACTGAAGAGAAAAAAAAAAAACTGTTGCCAATATTATCTAACTGGCATAGTTAATCTTGATCCCTCAAATAAAGATTAATCAGATTTCTATTAGCAAATATTCCACTAAATACTAGTTATGTCAGTGATATTATGGCAGTGATTCTAGAGATTTAGTAATTATTCAACTGGTACTGAAACTTGTAAAAAAATACTTGCATACCACTTAAAATTGCAATTAAAATACCTCATCATTAATTTCTAACAGATTATTAACCAATACTTGTTACCATTTTATAATTTTTCTGCTGAAGATATCACACTAATTAGATTTAATATGAATTACTGATATACAATTAAAATTCAAAACAATAAATACGGTATATATAAAAATGCTAAAACAAAAGTAAAACTATTATCATAAAAAATATAAACCCATACTTTGAAATTGAATTACTATTAAAAATTATGCATTAAAATATATTTTTATTATTTGAAAATTTTAATGAATTCCTCTACTTGTGATGAAAAGAGAAATGAATAAGTATTTACTAATTACTGAAATACCTTTGTCAACCTAAACAAAATTAGTGACAGTAATGTCTACCTGATGTATATGCCGTGATTACTTCAGATGGCAATTCTAATCTGTCATCTTCCCAAACAGCTACTTTCACTTGATATGGAGTATTGGGCTTCAAATGGGTAACTGTCACAATAGTCTGAGTGCCAGCCTGTAAAAGAAATATAAGAATTTTTTAAAAATTTCAAAATGTTGAAATTTATTAATATTTGCTTTTACTTAAAATATAATTATTAATGAACATATGAAATAAAAATTACATTTATTTTTACACAGTATTTTGAATATCCAATAGCTTTTTACCGTTACAGAATTACTTTAATACCATTTCCTTACAGAATTAAATATTATTCATCACTTGATAAAAGAATTAAACTTTCACGTGTAAAATTCTTCTCCAAATATTTTTAAATATAGCTACTTTTTGCTAATGATATATTTTACAATAATCTGCAAGTACACTTTACAAAAAAAGTTTCGTTAAAACATTTTTTATCTCCAAATATCAAAACATCACATTTTTGCTCATAACATATGCAATTATTACATGTGTTTTTTTTAGATGCAGTTATATTTCTCTAATTGTTAGTACATATTAATAATTGCAAAATTTTATTTAATTAAACTTCTTGGATTCAGGCATTTATTAGATTATATTTATATATTTATTTATATTAGTTTAGGTATTGCAATAAAAAATTAAAGTAATGATTTAAATTTATTATATGAATAGAATTAAAAATAAAAGATAATGACATAAAGTGAACTAAAGACTGGCATATTAAACATAACAAAAAATATAAAAAGTGCTTTACATGAAATTTAGAAATAGAACATCACAATTAGATTTTTAAGCCACACAGAAAGTTCAAAGAAAATATGATAATATTGAATGTAATCTGAAGAATGTTTGCACATTATACAAGTCAACTCTCAATTAATTAATTTAATCAATTAATTGTGAGGGGAAGGTTTGTCTACGAAAGCCAAGCATTGTCTAAAAAAATTTAAAGCTTTTTATTGCAGAATAATGAAAAAAAATTCTGCAACAAAGCTGCAAACAAAACTGTCTACAAAAAATTACCAAATGGAAAAGAAAAAAGCTATGATACCAGATTATATCACAAACATTTATAACATAATTTCTTCATTTCTAATAATATTTATTTTTTCATCATTTACTATGTGTTTGTTCTCTTGTGTTTAATTTGGATAATAAATTCATCTTGAAATATCAAAATGAATTTATTATCCAAATTAAACTGCTCAAAAATACAGGTAAATTATTAACAGGTTTTTTTTTTTTTTTGTTTTTTTGTTTACTTACAACATGTTACTCCTGTTTTTTGTATGATAACTACCATCGGATTAGCCATGATCTTGATTAACTGCCTTACTTAATGCTGATTCTATTTTCAAATGCTTCTAAATTGGTGTCAGCAGTATATAAAAGTTAAAACTAAATTCATGCAGCTGAGATTTACCATTGGATTGCAGGCATTATATGTAACAAAACTGAAAGCTAACAATGCTTCAGCATCAGTGTTGCAAAATAAGTGATTTTAATAACAGTATTTACAAACCTGCACTTTTGTCCAGTTCATATTACTTTCTTCAGCTGGTCTGTATTCTAATATATATTCTGAATGATAACTTGGGAGGCGAAAATCATCCCACACTACGGTCAAGGTGGTTTGGCTACGTTGCTTAACCAAAATTTTTGGCATATTTGCAGCAGGATTTTCTAAAATAAAAGATTTGATAATGAAATATATATATATAAACTTTTCACATATATATATGTGAAAGATATATATATGTGAAGATGTATATATATATAAACATTTCGTAAACTACATTAAATAAAATTAAATTGTTTACTTTCATTTTTAAATGACATAATTATAAAACAATTCAGGAATGAAAAATTAAAGATATATTTTCATTCAAGAATAAATACAACTTTCTTCATTTTTTTAAACCTTTCTAATTTTCCTAATTTGCTTTTAAATTTCTGATTATTTTATTTCAACATCCATATAGCTTGAATATGGACACTTAAATGTCATGGATTCTTAACGAGAACACACTACATTAACATACAAATGTAAATTACTTTATAGCATATATGTCTAAGAAGATGTATATAGAAAAATAATTATTTGGCTCCTAAAGTATATGCATGTTTATATTGAAAAAACTACCTTCACAATATAACCGAACACAGCAGGGATCATTTTCATCCGGAATTTCTATACAGGATGGATGCAAAACATCAGCTGGCTTGTAAGAGCACCTATCATTACATTCAGGTGCCCCAATTGCATTGCATATGCATGCCTGATTACAACTTAAGTTGAATCTCTCTCCAATTCCATATGATAATGTTGCATTGATGATACAGCCTTCTGAAATGTTTTGAAAGTGTTCTGTGACATGGAATTTCCATTAAGAGATCACAAATGAATGTGATAAAACTGCAATGCTGTTCTATAAGCTTGGTGTGAAAGCAAAGGCAAAAAAAAAAAAAATTAAAGCTTGAAGGCTAAAATAGTTTAGAAAGAAATACATGTGATTTTCTGTAATTACAAATGAATAATGCATAAAATTATAAAAATGAGGAAAACTAAAATATTAAAAGCTCCTCTATTGTTAAATTATTAATGCTTAAAATATATGATAATACAAACAAAAAATACTAGCTTTATGAATAAAAAGAACAGTTGTAAAACACGAACAATAACTATGATTTAAAAATGGAATCAAAAAAGGAACCATGTCACACTTTCCCCTTTTCAATTTGTACTGATCATAGGAGTAAGTAACGGCTCTTCAAATTTTTATAATTCAAAGCAATTTATGATCACTTTTTAAATAAATAATAAACTTAATTACTTACAAAACAATTCTAAATCATATTAAATTGTTTAATTTCTGAGACTCACATCAGATATTTCAAACAGTTTTGCCATTGCTCAATTTGAAATCGTCGAGTTTGTTAATAATAAATGTGTGAAAGTGTTACAAAATATAAAATCAATAATAAAACAAATTGCAAATTAGGGCTTCCAGATGCCCATATTTGGTGGAGGATTATGTTATTCAAAATTTGATGGCCCTAGGTACTGTTGTTTTATCATAATAAGAGAAACATGCATACATTTATGCAGATTCTTCATTATTTAATTTCTTTAAATAAAACACAAGGAAATAATATTTGGTAACAACAATTTGAAAAGTGACAAAGACATTTAAAGTTTTCAATGCAAAAAGCCAAAACAAAATTAATAGTCTTCTAAATCATATTAAATTGTTTAATTTCTGAGATTCACATCAGATATTTCAAACAGTTTTGCCGTTGCTCAATTTGAAATCGTCGAGTTTGTTAATAAAAAATGTGTGAAAGTGTTACAAAATATGAAATCAATAATAAAACAAATTGCAAATTTGGGCTTCCAGATGCCCATATTTCGTGGAGGATTATGTTATTCAAAATTTGATGGCCCTAGGTACTGTTGTTTTATCATAATAAGAGAAACCTGCATACATTTATGCAGATTCTTCATTATTTAATTTCTTTAAATAAAACACAGGGAAATAATATTTGGTGACAACAATTTGAAAAGTGACAAAGACATTTGAAGTTTTCAATGCAAAAAGCCAAAACAAAATTAATAATCTTTCTGTGCTAATATCCTTTGGGCTAAAATGGATTCTGGAATCTCCCAAGTACAGTGAAGAGGGGGGGATCTGACACCAGTAGTCAGGCCCGGATATCATTTCCTATTATTTTGCTGCAAATGATTGGTTACCTACAGCACCACATTCATATGCTAACAAAATGGCACTGATATATAACCTTTTTATGCGCTTGAATTTGCTCATTACCAGCCCGTGTGAGTCAGCAAAGAGCATTTCCCACTAAATACCAAAATGATCCATTTGCCTACAGTGATATAATAAAGTGACAGAAGACAAACTTAAAGCATTAGGCACATGTCAAAAAAAAGAAGGTGGAAGAAGTGAAGGAGGCTCTGAAGTGGAGTACCATAACCAATAGCTAATCTAAGCTCAATATGGGAGCTCAATATCACCCACTTTAAAGAATGGAAAATGTTTTGCAAACATTTACCCATAAAACTAAAAATCTCCTTCAAGCAGTTGTTACCACAATGAAATGCAATAACACATGGAAAAGGAGAGTTTCAAGAGATAATCTTCAGGGTTGAGACAATCTTTCACCATTTTGGACACATAAACTGCAATAGTATATTATATGCTGGAAAAAAAAAAGCCTGCTGCATCTGAACATGCTAGTCACCCAAAAGCAGTGTGTTTCATGATCAGGCATTCACAAATTGGTCAAGCAGGTCATCAGACTTGATTCCATATGATTTGTTCATGTGAAGTTACATGAACAAAATTTACATTGACACCACATTACAGCTGCCACCATCCCAGTTACCTTCATTAGGCAAAGTCAGATATGGACTGAATTCAATTACAGATGTAATGTGAGCAGTATGACATTCAAGAATATATCTTACTCTAAAAATTTCAAGAATATATCTTACTCTAGAAATTTTTAATGCTTCGTGGGCCTTTAAACATAACATAAATATAATTTTACATTTCATTAATTGAAACAGAGATTAATATAAATGACGGAAGGTATTTTAAATGAAACATTTGTAGAATTTTATGTAGTCATCAGCTGTTAACTTGAGATTAAGTAACTAAAATTTCTAACAATACAGAAAGATCTCCAATGAATATAAAACATTTTCAGAATTATTTAGGTCTGAATGCATAGAATCCAATTTAATTGACCTTCTAAGAAAAAGAAAAATATACGCAATCTTCCATTTCTTCATTATAATAAATATTGCTAAAATAAATATGAACAGCATTAACCTGAAAAGAAAATTCATAATTTATGGCAACACAAATTTTATAGCATGTATCATCAACAGTTTTTATACCTTAAAATATATAATAAATTACATGTACATCTAAAGATATATATTTAATATTTACCTTTTGTTTTAAAAGTTGATATTTCTTGTTTACCATCTTCCTCAACTTTTAAATAATAGTTTTTGCCAGTCAAAAGATTGTCCAAATATATAACAGGTTTTACATCCTAAAACAGATTACATATCTCTAATCAGTTTTCCATTTCATAAAAACAAATCAAGAATAATATTTTATAAATCATATCTGTACTTGTACTTTAATACTTTTCATATAATTTTCATTTATACTTATCATGTACTTATTTTTTTACACTAATTTTTGTTTAACACAATATTCGTTATTGACTTAAGCTAGCTAATCAGTAACAAGAATTAGTAACTAAACTGATACATGTACTGACATAATTAATTGAAAACACAACTTTTTTTTTTTTTTTTTTTGGTTAAATGAATAGCTTTATAACATAAAAAAAAAATATACACAGCAGAAGATCAAGGATGTTTAGAATTTTAGTATCTCATTCAAATTTAATTAACAGAATAAATAAGTTGCATTTTTAGATAAATTATAATCAGATAAAATCAAAATTTCAAAAAATAATATTCTATAAATAAATATGAATGTAAAATATATAAAAGAACGAACAATAAATTTCTCTAATTTCTCTACTACAAAACTTAATTTAAATTTTTATTAACCAGCATTAATATTATTGTATCAAAACTGGCCAATATACAGTGAAGCTCTATGAATAATCTATATGAACGAAACACATTATGCAATATATATTTATATTTTAAAATACTCGCCTAAGTATCAAAAAATTTTAAAATATACTTTCAACTGTAAAATTAGTTTTACATTACACAGAAAATAACTGTACTTTGTTTTCCTTTAAAATAATTAAAACTGCCTAGTAACTTTAATACTGACACATAATGGTTTTGATTGTGACTCTGATTAGTCAAATAATATTTGTAACAGCAATGAGGACTTAAATTTAATTTACTTAACTTTCAAATAAAAAACAACCAGAATGAAAACTAATGCCTAATAATTTTTGATAAATCCCAACATTTTATGTGTAATAATTACAGTACAAAGTCCGTAATCCGGATGTCCATTATCTGGAATGATCTATAATCCGGACCTCAAAGCCAAACTTTAAGCATGCACGTAAAGAATGCGCATACATTATGCACGTGCATAACGTATGCTTTACGCAGGCGCGTGTTGAAAGAAATGTTTAAGAAATTAAAGAAATAAATATTAAGCTTTTTTTTGTAAAATTTGATACCCTTTAGATCATAATTGCTCTTTATTTCAGAAATAACGGTTTCATATTTTTAATTGTATAATTTCCGCATGCCATCTTACCAGATTTAAATTGATTATGTATAATCCAGAAAAACCCCTAATCCAGAATCGCCGAAGTCCCGACGAGAGTGGATTACAGACTTTGTACTGTACTTTATAAAAATTATTTTACACATTCAAATGCTGAATTATTAGAGCTGCCATATATTAATTTTAATACCCAGTTTTACATGCAGAATGAAGCCTTAATAAAATTAAATTATTCATTAAATTGATTTTTTTTTTTTTTTTTTTTTTTTTTTTTTTTTTTTTTTGTTTAGCTGACATTACATTTTCTTATCATGTTTTACATGCAGAATGAAGCGTTAATCGAATTAAATTATTTATTAAATTTACTTTTTTTGGGGGGGTCAGCTGACATTACATTTTCTCATCATCTCAATTACTCTAAATCTAAATAGCTTCAAGAAAGTATATATTATTCTTTGAAAATTATTGATGTTGCTGCGGCTGTTCTGGATACTTTCGGTCCTATTTGACTCCTCTGCACTGATTCCTCAGACAAGACAACAACAAGTATATAACGGCTTCATGTACCACTTTTATATGGCTAATTATTAGACTTTACTTTTTTTAGTTTTTGTCATTGTATGTTAGAAGGCTATTTATGAAAAAAAAACTATATAAAGTTTCAATGGCTTCAAGAAATTAAATACAGTACAAAGTCTGTAATCCAGACTCGTCGGGACTTCGGCGATTCCAGATTATGGGTTTTTCCGGATTATAGATCATTAATTTAAATCTGGTAAGATGGGATGCAGAAATTATACAATTAAAAATATGAAACTGTAATTTATGAAATAAAGAGCAATTATGATCCAAAGGGTATCAAAATTTACAAAAAAAAAAAAGGTTAATATTTATTTGTTTACTTTATTAAACATTTCTTTCAATGTAAGTTTTTTAAGATGCTTCCTCAAAAAATTCAAAAAGTTCCTTTTTCTTTTTTCTTGTGTCATATACAGTGGACTTTCTAATGCTATACTCCTCCCATAATTTTGAGACGGATATGCTTTTATCTATTTTTTGCAGCAATTCCACTTTTTGTTTAATGGACATCAAAACATGGTTTCGCTTTGTAGATCCTTTGGCAGCTCCAGAATTGGAAACTCTTTTTGACTTAATCGAAAGTTCAAGCTTAATTTTTATAAAATTGCTCTAACAGTCTGCAAAAAAAAATAATAATAATAATAATAATAAGCCTGATCCAATTAGAAGATTAAGGAACAGCACAATCTGCAACATTAACTGAAATGCCTTAGAATCAGTAAAGATAATTTTAACCTAGCTTATAACCGTCCATTATACATTAAATGCGCATGCGTGAAGCATACAAAAAAAAAAGGTTTTTGTGGCTTTGAGGTCCAGATTATAGATCATTCCGGATAATGGACGTTCGGATTACGGACTTTGTACTGTACAATTTCAGATGGATTTTTATTTAAATTCTGTAATATCAATTCAAACAATGAATTCAAAACCTGTTTCAGAATTGGTACTGACACTTGTTAAAGACAGCAAAATAAAAATTTAGAGGTGTCCAGTTGTCATGAAACTAGCCCCCTTTAACTTTCAATATCCTTCCAAAATAATTCATACATATTTATACATAATTTTAAAATAATTCATTAATACTGAGTTTTTTTTAAATAATATGAATTAATATTAAAATTTATATATATGACACACAAAAAACTAAACATTTAAAAGAAATAACTTCTGAATACAAATATTTAATATTAAACAAATTAAAATATTTTTATTTTTTATGTGTCACTACAAGAAGTGGCCTAATTGGCAAGATTCAATATTTTTAATTGCATTCTTTAACCCTTTCACGTCCATTGTCACACATACATGCCAGCAAGAAATGCACTCATTTCCTAGTTGGCACGCTGCCATGCCAAAGCCGTTTCTCATTCAACCCTGGCCATCACACATTTGTGCCAGTGTCCTAGAATGTTTTAAGGACCACTAGATGGCACCCTGTATCCATTACCTTTAAACTAAGTATAGCTTTAGGATCCTGATTTTTAACTTGATCGCTTTCCGAGTAACGTTATTGTCAGCTGTTGTGGGGAGAGGCATAATGTAAACAGACAGACTTCATTTTTTAACTTGCCACATGAGTTACTATGTGAAATTCTATTACACTTTGCATTGCTTTTATTTTGGAAAGCCTTATAGTTTATTATAGGAAGCAAGTGTTGTTTTTGAGACAATTTTCTAAAGAATTAGAATGTTATACTTCTAGTGATTTTCAAATGGACATTTTATCAGAAACTGAGCTCACTTGAGTGTCTGCCTTCTAGTTCACGTGAAAGATTGTGTTACTTCTTCTTGTAAACAGACTTCCTGTATTTTTTTATTAATTTAAAAGTCTATTAATGTATTTTATCAATTAAAACTTCAGAATAATTTGAATAATGGTTCCAAAATTATTTCTCAAAGTAAGCATTTTTTAATATATTTTCTCATAAAGGGAAAAAGTTACTACATGTTAACTTTAACATATATGATAGCTCATATAATAATCTAAAACATTACTAAAAATTATGACATAAGGACATAAACTTCTTTTTTTTAAGATTAATTTTTCTAAGGTTAGCCTTAGTGGATGCAAAATTCCCAGCTTGTGGGATGACTCTTTTCAACTCCCATCTATCCTGAGGGAATGTTTTAAACAAAAGTGCACAGTCTCAAAAGGGTTAAAAGAAGTAAGTTTACTGAATTAATGCAGTTTATAAATTTTAGAATTAATTTATAGTTTTACCATATATCACTGCATGTTTCATGGTATGTATTTATTAATATCTCTCGTTTTCTTTTATTAAACTCACTTGATTACTTCTTTCACAGATTGAAATTTAAGTTCAATCCAAATACAGCTTGCAGTTATCTTCCGATTTGTTTTTAAAATGTGTACTTTTTACTAGATTTTGTAAATTTTTTGAAAAACTTTTTGAATTATAACCTATGATATTTTTACCATTACCTTAAAGTAGATGTATTTCTAGGCATACCTGCAAAAAATTAGATTTTGTTATTCAAAATTCCTAAAGATACACATGAATTTATATATTGGTGAATTTTGAAATTTGGCACATTTGTTATAAGTGATAATAATGCCAAATGTGTTTTTCATTCTTTGTTAAAATTATTTGAAAGAACGAAAGATGCACCTTTTTTTTCTGCTCTTGCAAAGTGAAAAAAAGGAAAATACGTTACTGTAAATTAAGAGATTGGCTGAGTGAATTATTCTTGGTGCAAATTGCAAAACATGTGCCAAGATAATTTTTTTAATTTCTTGGTAAGTTTCTCACCAAATTTTACAAAATGTAATATTTGGGCATGAGTCATAGAATCGAAATATGGAAATAAAATTGTATGTCATTCCAAAAAAAAGTCCAATTTTGTGTTTCAAAATATATACTAAGCCATGCTTTCAAGACATGAAAAATGCAAGTTAGATTCCGTCAGTTGGTCCAGTAAAACAAGAGATATAGAACTGTGCCCCCCCTTTTTTTTTATGAGTGTGTGTGTATGTGTGCAAGATTGCATACATGTGTAGTACGTGAGAAGAACAAAAGTGCAAGAAACTATGAAGTATGAAAACAAGAAAAATGTAAAAAAAAAAATAGACTGCACTACAGACTAAAACAGATGTAAAGATACTCAAAATATCTGTCAATGAGTTTGTATAATTTTTAAATGCTGTCTAGAGTTGGCTATGAGTTTGAAACTATTTGATGGTAGAACACTAGTCCAGAATTGGCTACGAGTTTGAAACTATTTGATGAAAACACTACCTTTATGAAAGTCATTATTTAACAAATGTATATTGATACTTTTTTTTTTTTTCAAAATCAGAACTCAAATAGAGTTTATGGTAAAATCCTAGTATACGGTGCAGCCTTGGCACGATTTTGAAAATTATCGCCAACACCAAAAATGATCCAAAGAATGTCTATATATATATACTATACACTATAACACTATAGAGTTTATATTATGTATAACCATATATATTCTTTGAATGACCTGTTTACTACTCATCGTACATGTTGCGTTTTTACTGCTCATCATAAAGTCGTCAAAAGTAGCCTAATCCCATGTGCACCGGGTACTAGGATTAAACCGAGTTTATATCTGCCCTGAATGAATGAACATAGGATGCATAGGTGGATTAACTTTTTGACTATGCCATTTCTTCTGCTTCAAATTTTAGAATATGTTATAACAGCATAAATAAATGCATATATTGAATATTAAAAAAAAAACAAATAAAATATTAACACATTCTATAAACTAACACATACCTTTTTATATAATTCTTAGCACTATTTGATTTAAAATGCCTTTATTTCTATGTTATTTACTTCACTTTTAAGAAACAAAAACAACTTTCTAAAACAAACTCATCTGGCACTACAGTTGGTAACATCAGAAAAAAAATTATGTTAATAGCTCAGTTATCTTAAAATTTTTTTGAACAAAACTGTCCTCTTTTAAAATCTTATAAGCTAATAATGATAGAAAAACAAAATTTTAGTATATAAAAATAAACAAAAAATTACTGAGATCAAATATATCGTAATTTACAACATTTGATATACAGTTATAAATAAACTTACATTAACTTTAATCCATTGAGTATAAGCTCCTCTATATGCAGCAGCGTAAGAAACTAAAGCCTGAGGCTGAAGCTCTGGATCAGCAACACTCCAACGCACTTTTGCAGAATTATGTGTGATATCAAAAACTTCGACAGACAGCTGACCTGAAATAAAGACAATGAATTTAGAAAACAGGAAAGTTCAACAAATTTAAATATTAAAACTTGTAAACAAATTGTTTGCATCCAATAACTCAACATACACACAAAGTAAACAAATCTCTTGTTTTGCACTTAATAGGTCTTTCTGCCCCCAGGGAGAAAAATCAAGCTTTGTTGCGAGAGAAAGATTGATAGGCAGAGGCAATTTCGCATTTCAGAGGAAACAGTTTCGTATACTTTTAAAGCCGGATAACACAGATGGGAAAAAAAGAAAACAAGAGGCCCGTTTGTTATAGAAAAAAATGTTTAATAAATAAAACAAATTTAAAGGGCCTAATTTAGATTGAGAGAGCTAAAGACAAAAGTTGCTTTCAGGAGCACGTGTCAATGATTTAAATGAATAAAGCGAATTTCTGAGTATCCTCACAGTGTATAAATGTCTCACAAGAGTATGTAGTATGTACGCATTATATTTTATAATGTGTTGAATAATTAATAAGGATGAAAAAATGAGATAAAATTTTGAGAAACTGCAGTTAGTATTCAAAAGTCTGACCATTCTTGAACAATTATTACAATCACAGTGGAAAAAAAAAGCTGAAAAACGTCTGACCAGGCATATGGAGCTACGTAATTCGTCAGTTCGTATAAGCGCCCGCAAGGGCCAAAATACTGCCCGATATCTCCCTAAATTCTAAAAGGATGAATATGATGATGGTATGATAAATTAAATTCAATAAAATGTGTATAGTGATTTATCCCGCCATAATTTGTTTTTTCTCCCAATATGTAGTTGTGACAGTGAAGTTGATTTAATTTGTATTAATTTTATATATTGCATTCTTTTGCAGTGAGTACCCAGGCTACTGGCCTCATTCCTTGTAATATGTTTGGAATGTGCCGGAAAATTTCAAACGTACGGATGTGAAAATATACACTTTTTTTGTTAGATGGATAGAGGTTCATAAATGTATGAAATAAATTGCAGAGTCGTGAGATAAATATATATTTTCTATTTATCTCCTTTTTCTCGTGCACTCTAGATGTCGTTATCGAAGCCCGTCTTATTTTACAGATCCTTAAGCAAATTCACAATCAAATTTCTGCTCATGACAGAAAGATTATAAAAATACATCTTGTGCTGTTAAAAGTTTTCATTCTCTCCAATGACCACACATTTGTTTGCTAAGCGTTGGTTGAGAATTAGCGACTCCATCTGCCGTTTCTGCTATCTCATAACCGAGAACATTAACAGCATGCACAGCAGGGTGTAGAGCGATATCGCACTCGCAAGAAGGGAGCAGAGGTCTACGGACATACTTGCTTATTCTGGGACTAACGGTAAGGCAGAAGGTAAGGCTAACCATCACATTTAACAAGGCATAGTGATTACCCTTCTCACCGTCGGAAAAAATATAAAAAAAAAAAAAAAAAAGACTGAAAAGAATGTATTAGAATACAGATTTTTTTTTTACCATTTATCCGAGGAACTCCAATGGCATTAATTTTACTTGCTTCATATTTAAATAGTCAACTATTATTCGTTAGAAATATATCTTTTTTTCCCTTTCCATTCAGCTATCAATTTCAATTAAGCGTTATACATAACTATGCATTGAATTGGACACAATTACTATAACAAATCAACTTAAAGCAGTTTTTTTATGAATAGGAATAACTTCTTAGAGAACTTTCTACGAAAATTGATTTTTTACATAACAGGCAAACCACTGAAATTTCATACGAGTACGGTGAACACAATGCTAACTATCAGTATTTCACAACTTTAATCACTTGGCAATTCCTTGGTGGTCTTTTTGGTACTGAGATAGATCAAAGAGTGAAGTACAGCAGAAATTTAAAGACTAAATGTTCATAACTTTTGGCATAACAAATGGAAAATCACATGATTCAATAAAAAAATTGTGGATTTTAAAAATCAAAATTAAGCCTTAATTTTGATTTTATCTTATGTGCGTGTATGAAGGCTGTTATGCAGTTTGCTTATTAGCATTTTGATAATGAGAAACATAAAAACGTAAGTGTGTCTTCGCCGGGATTCCAATCTCGCATCTTACAGTTTGGACTTTGGTAGTACGACGTACTAACCATTTACACCAAGACAGTAGTACGAAGTGAAGGCAACTAATTCATTCTGTGTATTTCCTTCTAAAGAAAAAGAAATTTAAAAGTATTTTCAAGATTTTAAAATAAAATACTTCAATAAACTGCCTTCTTGTGTATAAGAACATGAAACATTTTGTGTATTACAAATTTAACTTGCACTGAAATTGAAACTTTATTCCTTAGATTTATTCATCTTAAATTATAATGTTCATATTTTGATGAGTTTCTTATCGATGTTATTTATTATTCCCTTTTATATATTCTTTATCGATAAAAGGTGGAGCCGTTGCTCATCAAATACAAAGATTGCCGTTCACCTTGAAAATGGCGAAAACCGCCTTTATGATCTGTCACCATTTGTAGAACGAGAAGCTAAAGCTGTGTCCTGAAAACACATCCCATCTATTCACGTATAATTAAGCTTGTCCTTGACATTCTTAGAACGACAGTTAAAGACTGATGAACTCTTCTCTTTGATTGACGAAGAAGAAACAAGACAGGTTTAATTATATCTGCCAACTCCTCGGCAAGAAAACTGGGTTTTCTGATTCATGTCTTTGAAGGATCTTAATTGCAAAGCTTATTTTATGCCTGTGACATTAATCGCAATCAATATCTTTCTTGTATGCAAAACTTTGAAAGGAAAGATTCTAAAAGATTAGTAGCATTTTTAGGGCAAATAAAATCTCTTAAGAAGAATTTTTCAAAGAAAATTGTTTCAGTAGCATCAGATTAAAAGTAATCATTGTAATAAAAATCTTCATCATTGTAATAAAAGAAAATACCTCAACATTTTGATAAATGTTGAGGTATTTTCTTTTATTACAATGATGAAGATTTTTATTACAATGATTACTTTTAATCTGATGCTACTGAAACAATTTTCTTTGAAAAATTCTTCTTAAGAGATTTTATTTGCCCTAAAAATGCTACTAATCTTTTAGAATCTTTCCTTTCAAAGTTTTGCATACAAGAAAGATATTGATTGCGATTAATGTCACAGGCATAAAATAAGCTTTGCAATTTTCTTTTATTACAATGATGAAGAAAAAGAAAGAGGATTTAATTCATTTGGATAACATTTTAGATATATTTTTATTTTTGTTTCTTATTGCTAGACATTTAGAATTTATTTTTAAAGAGAAAATTTAATAACACGTTAAATTGCATTAAACAAAACAAAATATCAGTACTATTTTGATTTTATTCGCTTTATTTACGTTTGTTCGGAAGTGTTTACTCAGAAAATAAAGTTCAACTGAAGTTAGATCAGAAATCAAACTTTCTGGACAAGTATCGATGCATAGGACCACTACCTGTTCCTTCATAAATCCCATATGAATTCCTTTTGATTTAGAACCTACGCACAAATGCATTGCAATGATTCTAAAATATTTTTACCATTTTTTTTAATTGAAATATATTCCTTTCGTTTGAGTGATCATGTCTTCTTCTGATGTTAGAGACATCAGGGGATGATTCTTACAGGTGTCATTAAATCTTGGAACTAAGTTCGAAATCCCGCTATTGATGGGAGTAATTTCATTTTTAATTTCTTTTGTGAGTTACAGGTTTTCTGGAGATCTCATGGAAATTCTGATTACAGAGTTTCTGATGATCTATTTAATTTTATAATAATAATAGCATAATTAATGCTCATGTTATTGTATAATGCAAAATAGTATTAGAGAATTTTTTTAATATTTTCTGAAGTATTGGTTTATACTTTTTTTTTTTTCTTTTCAGAAAACGCTTTACAATGTTATATGTATAAAGTAAATAGCAAAACATTTATAAATTATTCTATTATCATAAAATTTTAAATTACTATATTCCAAATTCGAATGTAAAGTTAGATACGTGTAATTATGAATTTTGCCGATTTTTTCTCCTTCTCCCAAAACATTTCAACCCACGAATTTCAAATATTATTTAAAATTTGCATGAATTTCGTTGCACATAAAATAAATCTAACGTAAGTATAAAATGTTGGAAGTAAAGACGAAGCACTGCTTACTTTTGCAAACTTGCGTTCTACATCATACTTTGATTCATATTAAGATCTTTAGTTAATTCACACTAAAATTTTCAAAAGAAAAGAAAGAAAGAAATTTAAAATATTGTTGACTCACACACAGAAAAATATTTAGTCCGTGCGAATTTTTTTTAAAAGCAACCTGCAACTTTTTTATGAATTTACTCTTCTCGCCTAAGTTTAATTAAATCTTTTCTTTAGTTTGATCGAAAGTCAGGTAAAGACTCCAAGCTGCGTGAAATTTCGTATTATCCAGACAATTGAGTATTCATTAGCAATTTATCTTCTTTTATAGCTGCTGCAGATTTAATGACGAAAAGGAAAGCTGTGTTTATTGCATGGGAGAAAAACTATTCGTTTCTCATTTACTCATTAGCACAGGTCATCGGCATAGCAAGAGGTTATGCGCATGCGCGCTGGGGAAGCGGGGATTCGGATCCGGTTCGAAAGGGTGGATAAGCAAACGATTCCCGGGGCGATTCGAAAGTTCCGCCCGGGCGTTCTGCTCTTTCGTTTCACATTTTTTATACATTAGTTAGTCATTCTGTTACAAATTCGACAGCTGAACTCGTAAATGGAAAAGTATTTTAATGAACCAACGATTTCTGCTTCTCTCCTTGGGTGTTGTAGCTGCTAATAATGAGAAAGCTCATGTCTTTTTTGTAGAATTTTCTGCAATAGATTACGTAGACCTCCAGCTCTAACTTGCTCAATCAGACATCCCATGCTGAGAGTTTGTGATTGAAATTCGGGATCATTTAAGCATCCAACAGTTGCTCTACCACCTGGCTTAAATATTTATTACCTCTCGGATTCGATTAAGAGAGTCTGGAGGCCTAAG